AAGTTCCCTATCAAGCCAACAAAAATGACCTACACAACCTGTTGCTGGATTACTATTTAGAGCAAGGTAAGATAGACTCTGAAACTCATGAAACTTACTATATTGCAGAGAAAACTGACTTGGCTACGATGAAACTTAAACTAGAGCTGGCTAAGATTGAACGTGAGCAGCAAAGGGAAGCAGCTACCATACGAAGGGAAGAACAAGAACGCGAAGCTGCTTTGAGGAGAGAAGAACACGAACGCGAGGTCGCATTACTCCGTGAACGTGAACGAGTACAGCTTGAAACCAAACAACGCGAGTTGGAAATACAACGCGAACATGACAAGCAACAAGCAACTCTGGCTCTAGAGTGTCGTCAACGTGAAATCGCCTTGGAAACTTCACACTTCACTCAACGCCAGCAAGCTACTGCCAATCTTCCCGTCAGTTTTAATATATCACATGCAAGTAAGTTAATGCCATCCTTTGTAGAAGCAGAAGTTGATGTGTTTTTTACCACCTTTGAAACCCTTGCTAATCAACTCAGTTGGCCTGTCGACCAATGGGCCACACTTCTCAGAGTCCATCTTACAGGTAGAGCTGCAGTCACACTCAGTACTTTGGCGTCTGAGAATGACTACTACACTCTGAAACAAGCAGTGTTGGACGCCTACCTCCTCTCTACTGAAAGTTATAGAAGGAAATTCCGTGACCACCTGAAGGCAAGTACCACTACCTTCCTCGAGTTTGCTAACACGAAACGGAGGTATTTCATGAAATGGCTGGAAGCAGCACATGTCTCTACTTTTACAGAACTCGTCAACCTGATGCTTGTTGAAGAATTCTTGAGACGTGTGCCGCCTCCTGTCCGCCTCTACTTAGCAGATAAAGAAGAAACCGACTACCTGAAGTGTGCTAAGTCGGCTGACACTTACAGCCTCATCCACCGGCTGACACCTGAACCATCCTCCAGTAAGAAGTCGTGGTACAGTTACGAGAAGGTGAGCCCCGATCAAGCTGGTTCACAACTGTACTGCAAGTATTGTAGACTCTATGGACATACCATAGACAAGTGTGGTAAGTCTCAATACAAGGGAACCACTGACCAACAACGACCCAAACCAACTCCTCCTAAGTCCGGTAAGCCTGTGATGAATGTTGGTGTTGATGTTAATGATCTTTCTCTTTTCAGTAACCACCTGTATACTGGAACTGTCTCTGCCAACGGTTCAAATCCGGAGGGACGTTTCAAATTGAAGATCTTGAGGGACACAGCGGCTCTACAATCAATCATCTTGAAGTCGGCTGTGCCCAACATAGTCTACACCGGGGAAACAGTCTTCATCACTGACCTCACTGCTACTACTCCATACCCTCTCGCCAGAGTCCACCTGGATTGTCCCTACGTGAACGGGGAAGTCCAAGTCGCCGTCAGGGAAAAGCCTTTTCCCATGCCTGGAGTGCAACTTCTCCTAGGCAACGACTTGGCAGAAGACCTGCAACCGACCAACCTGATCGTCATGGACAAACCCCAGGTGTGTAACTCTGTGCCAAGTAACCCTATTCTTGAGTATGTTCCAGCAGAGGTTCAAGAGAGTGATGATGTTTCACCTCCGGTTCTCGTGACCACCCGTGCACAAGCCGCACGTCCACAGCCAGCTGACTCTACTGCTACCGCTGTCCCTCAAGACCCTCAGAAACTACCCCCGCATCTGACCAAGTTGGAGTTCCGTAAGTTGCAGAGGGAAGATCTTACTTTAACACCATTGTTTTTCCAGGCTGAGACTCAACCCGACAGTATTCCTGGGTTCTTCCTAGAGAACGACTTGCTCTACCGCAGATATAGACCCAGTAAACTGAAGGAGGAGGACGATTGGGCCAACACCGAACAACTTGTGATTCCCACCAGCCTGCGGCCCACTATTCTACACCTGGCCCATGGAGCATTCTCCCACTACGGCTTCAACAAGACTTACCATGGGATTCGTCAAGACTACTACTGGCCAGGTATGGTAAACAACGTCAAACAGTACGTAAAACAGTGTCATACATGTCAGATGGCAGGCAAACCGAACGTCTCCATTCCCAGAGCACCACTGATTCCCATACAGGTGCCTGCGGAACCTTTCCACAGACTCATAATAGACTGTGTCGGTCCTTTACCTCGGACCAGTTCAGGTAACGCCTACATCCTAACCATCCTGTGTCCTACCACCAGATTTCCCATAGCAGTTCCAGTGAAGAACATCACGGCTGCTACGGTTATCAAACATCTATTGAAGATCTTCACTCAATACGGATTTCCCAGGGAGATTCAAAGTGACTGTGGCACCAACTTCACCAGTGATCTCTTCAAAAGGACACTGGAGGAGTTCAACATCAAACAGGTATTGTCCAGCCCCTATCATCCTGCTTCACAGGGTTCTCTTGAACGTAGTCATCAGACCATCAAAGCACTCTTGAAAAAGTTTTGTAGTGAAACCTCGAAGGATTGGGATAAGCAGATTGACCTAATAATGTGTATTTTCAGAAGTCTCCCCAATGAGTCCCTAGGAGTATCTCCTTATGAGATGCTCTACGGCCGTAAGTGCCGTACTCCCCTTAAGGCTTTCAAAGACTCTCTCAGAGATGCCACCTTCAGTGAGCATCAGAATGTGCCCCAGTTTCTTCAAAACCTTCAACACATTCTAGAGAGAGTCCACCGCTTTGCCCATGATAATCTATTGAAAGCCCAGGTGAGAATGAAGACTCATTACGACCAGACCAGCAAAGTAAGAAAATTCAAGCCGGGAGACTTCGTCCTTGCTTATTTCCCTATCCCAGGTTCACCTTTACAAAACAGATTTTCAGGACCCTACTGCGTCAAAGAGTGCAGGAATAATAATAATTATGTGATAGAGACTCCAGATAGGCGGCGGAAGACCCAGCTGTGCCACGTCAACCTCCTGAAGCAATATAATGGTACTCCTCCCACTGTCTTGATTAATTGTTCTACCTTCACAGAACCCTACATCCACAGTGAGACCATCCCGGCTTCTTCTCCCGAAAGCACTGACAAGGAGTCGGCGCTTTCTAATTCCAAAATCCTTAATGATCTTCCCAAATGCTTTCAGGATAATAATCGTGCTCCTATGCCCTCTTCTAATTCCACTCTCACCTCGTCAGATAAGCCCTTCATCCTCCATGTCGACGCCAATGGTACCGACGTGGGTGGTGTCGTGATGCAGCAACGAGGCGAGAAGAATACACCTGTCAGCGACTACTGCTACAAGGATCTACGGAACAATTGGCAAGGAGCTACTCTTCCTCATCCTGAAGCTTCAGCACTTCACTCCACACCTGAAAAGTGCTCGGTCCACCATCAATACGGACCACACCACCCTACACCTCCTGCAGCACGCCCACTTCTCATCTCAACGTCTTCTACTATGGGCTTGCTAACTGCAGAAATTCAACCTGGAGACACGCTATACCAAGAGTCTGACAACATCTTAGCCCATGATCTCTCCAGAGTTTATGAAGTAGAAGCAACTCCATCCATTACTCCACCACATAACGACGTACTTCTTCCAGAACCGCAGGCTTCGGGGGAGAGTTGTGACGATAATCTCCTTCAAGAGATTGAGCCTGCTCTTCCCTCCATAATTACGTCTTCACAATTTAAAAAGACTATGGAAGAAATGTCCAACAACACCAGCAAGGCTTGCCAGGGTGAGCAAAACGTATGCAACCAGCCACCTGTTCGAACTCCAACCACCAAACTACCCGTTGATCGCTACGGCTCCGCTGATTGGTCGCCGGTCTGGCTGCACCTGCCTCGCCCCCCCAATACTACCTGATGTCTGGGGTCGCCCCAACATCAGTCTTCAGAATGTTCCGTGCTTTCGTAGCCAGCACTCCTCCCAGCTAGACTCTAGAGTGTACTGAGAGAGGTGGTGGCTTTAAGCCAATATTCCAGCACCTCCCACTAAACTTTTGTTGCACTTCTTGTTATTTTGACTTAACGTAACTTTTCATTGTGTCATTTAAGTATTCTTATTATTTTGATTCATTGATTTTATTATAAGAATTTGTTTGTGCATTATTTTCATGTTTTGATTTATTTAACGTAATTAAAATTTCATTGTTAAAGTTTACTTGTGTTTTGTGTGTCTTCTCCTTACCTTACCACAGACGAAGTTCCAGTTTTTTTCTTTTTTTTTTATAACTATGTGACGAGGCCATACCCCTAGCCTTAAACAGCCGAACACCAACGCGTTACCGTCACATATATATATATATATATATATATATATATATATATATATATATATATATATATATATACGCAGGCTGGCTGTCCCCTAACCACAATGAATTATTACTCATTATTATAGAGTTAGAGGAGCTTGGTTGTAATATTTAGAGTGAGAATGTTGGGACAGTCGTCAGTCCTCGTCACTAAGACCATTAACATTAAACACTCACAAATGTTAGTGAGAATTCAAAACAATAATGTTAACACAACACAGCTGGTATAGTACACACCGCTAGTATGGCCCACACTGGACCAGCTCCTCCAGTAATGAACATACAACTGTCAGATGAGTTATTGATTATGTTGTAAAGTGTTATCGAGAAAGCTATAGATCATGTCTCTAGTCAGATCTCGAGGATGCATATTCTAGGACTGGTCTGACCTAGGTTAAAAATAAATGTAGGTCAATGTGTGTGTGTGTGTGCATCAGAAAACTCTTAACTCCTGAAGGATTCGACCCCGGTCAGTCAGAGCCATCATATATGCCCCTTGGCGTGTCCAAAACTATAACCACTCAGCCACAGACTGTACAAAACCACTATATTATCAACCAGTATAACCGGAGACTGGCTATATAGCACGAGTCACACGCCAAGGGGCAAGCGACCGACTGACCAGGTTCGAGTCCTTCAGGAGGGAGGGGTTAAGTCGAGTGTTGTGATGCAAGTTGGCTTGAGGGAACACTGGAGACTGAGGCTGACACACCCACGTATGTTTACAGGTGGCGCTGGTGATCGACAGGTTCCTGCTGGTGTGTTTCCTGCTGTCGACGGCCGTCGCCACCACCACCATCCTCTTCTCCTCCCCCCACGGGCCTTGACCAGCGGCCTCCTTCATCCCCGAGCCTCCAGTCCTGCGTCCCTCCTCCTATCCCTTCACTCAGGTTAGTGTTCACGCACTTATCTTCACCCCCGATGGTTTCTGATATATATATATATATATATATATATATATATATATATATATATATATATATAAGCGGAGTGTGGCTGAGTGATTACGCACGGGAGAGACATCTCCCGTCACGCAGGGTGCAGTTGCACCTCCACAGATCTCCAGTATCAGCTCTTGATACTGGTAATGGCTCAAAAGGGCCACCACTTACGGGTTATTCATGCCCGTGCCACCTCTTGGGTGGCTTAATCTTCATCAATCAATGAATGGGTGCCACACTCAGCCTGGTACAGAGTTACTGCCTCGCTCCTGTGCCAGGTAAGTCCACTCCCTCACCGCTCACCATAGCTCGTGCTACTTGGAACTTTTTGTTTCTAGTAGCGAATCTTAAACAACAACAACTGGCTGTGTGTGGCTGGGTGTGGCTGTGTGTGGCTGTGTGTGGCTGGGTGTGGCTGGGTGTGGCTGTGTGTGGCTGTGTGTGGCTGGGTGTGGCTGGGTGTGGCTGTGTGTGGCTGTGTGTGGCTGTGTGTGGCTGTGTGTGGCTGGGTGTGGCTGTGTGTGGCTGGGTGTGGCTGGGTGTGGCTGTGTGTGGCTGTGTGTGGCTGTGTGTGGCTGTGTGTGGCTGTGTGTGGCTGTGTGTGGCTGGGTGTGGCTGTGTGTGGCTGGGTGTGGCTGGGTGTGGCTGTATTCACCTAGTTGTGTATTCGCCTGTTGTGCTTGCGGGGGTTGAGCTTTGCTCTTTCGGCCCGCCTCTCAACTGTCAATCAACTGTTTACCTTTTTTTCACACACACACACACACACACACCAGAAAGCAGCCCGTGACAGCTGACTAACTCCCAGGTACCTATTTATTGATAGGTAACAGGGACATTCAGGGTGAAAGAAACTTTGCCCATTTGTTTCTGCCTGGTGCGGTAATCGAACCCGCGCCACAGAATTACAAGTCCAGCGCGCTATCCACCAGGCTACGAGGCCCCCCCCGAGGCCCTACGAGGCTGTGTGTGGCTGGGTGCGGCTAGATTCTCATAAATTGTGTATTTTAAGCGAAGCAATATATCAGGCTGGTGTACGAGAATCTTGCCAATGTATCAGTTTACAATCCTGAAAAACGAGGAGAGGTATCAAGGATGTGTGTGTGTGTGTGTGTGTGTGTGTGTGTGTGTGTGTGTGTGTGTGTGTACTGTGTGTCTGTGTGTGTGTGTGTGTGTGTGTGTGTGTGTGTGTGTGTGTGTGTGTGTGTGTAGTTGTGCTCACCTAGTTGTGCTTGCGGGGGTTGAGCTCTGGCTCTTTGGTCCCGCCTCTCAACTGTCAATCAACTGGTGTACAGGTTCCTGAGCCTACTGGGCTCTATCATATCTACACTTGAAACTGTGTATGGAGTCAGCCTCCACCACATCACTGCCTAGTGCATTCCATCCGTTAACTACTCTGACACTGAAAAAAAATTTTCTAATGTTTCTGTGGCTCATCTGGACCTAGATTCACGAAGCTCTATGTATTTCTACGTAAGTAGGTTTGCTACGAAGGTTCCTAAGTATGCCCTAAGAAGATGCTTAGGTGCGATTCAGAAGGGTATTCTTACGAAGATATTTGGGTTTTTGGTCTGGTTCACCTGCGTGCCGATAGAGGTCACTATTGTGTTTCGTTTGACCAATCAGAGAGCAGGCAACATTCTTCATCTTGAAGATTTAGCCAATCACGACGCTGGCTTATCGGAGCTCATCTGCCCTCTATTTACGTCGAATTTTCTTATAAAATTAGTATATTTCGAAGTAAAACAATGTTTTATCAACCTCTACAGCCAGCACCGACATTGTAGTAAACAAATATGTTACATTTGTTGTTTACCTACGTAATTCTAAGAGATACTGTGTAGCTGTCCTTGTTGCTCGGAGATGCGCTGACACTTATTGTATATATTTACTGAATTTACCCAAGGGCCACTAACTATCTAGTGGCCTCGACGAGGACAGAAAGCCGGCGGCTTGTTAAAGGGCCCGCCAATTGTCTTAATGATATTTTTTTAGCTGGATTTTGGCATTTACGGCTTCAGCGGGTAGGCGGTTCCATGGGTTTATAACCCTCTTGGTGGAAAAAAACATCTGTTTTCAGTCCTACTTGAGAGGACATACTCTCCAACACTATATCTGTGATTGTCCTGTTATCAGTGACTTCATACCAAATAGTATTAGGTACTTTGAGCTCTGTAATTGCTTCGTACACTCAGGAATATTGGAAGATATTCTTGTGCTGTAATTAGATTTTGCCAGTGGGGACTAATAGCCTTACATATTTTGTTATGTCCTGATTCCATGTATGACTTGCCGTCCTGTGAGGTGGGGATGTTGGATGAGCTTATAGCTGTTTTTTTTTTGAGTCTATAGTAGACACTACAAAAAGTAGTGACAGGAAAAGCATACGTCAGGCTGCGAGCAGCCGCGTCCAACAGCCTGGTTGATCAGTCCGGCAACCAGGAGGCCTGGTCGACGACCGGGCCGCGGGGACGCTAAGCCCCAGAAGCACCTCAAGGTAACCTCAAGGTAGGACTATACCAGCCAGAAATGCTAGATTCTTGTCCTAGTAGCTCAAGAAGTAGCTGGTGCTGACCTCTAGTGAGGTGGTGCTTAGACAATCAGCGCCATCTATTGAAGGAAGAGATGTATGTCTATGTCAGAGTACGTAAGTGTTGTTTCCTAGTGTCCCAGTGTACTGATGACGTGTCTGTATTCACAGAGTCGACGGAGGGCTGCTGTGATACCAGGAGAGCCAGTCTACCCAGGGCAGCCAAGGTCTCTACACCAGTCTGCTTTAAGGAAGCAGAGAGCTGCCGCCGGAAGAGAACTGTGAAGTGTTCTACTGTCTGCCTGTGGAGTGGCAGTGACGGGATTCGCCGTACCCGGGGCTGGCTAACAGAAGAGACGACTGACTATGGTGCTGAAGAGGAGAGTAACCAGCGAGTGCAAGAAGCTCCTGCCTAGGGTTCGCTACCCTAGTATTTGCACGTGAAGTGGCCCAGCAGCGCGAGGCTGAAGGTATCTGCCAGCATGAGGCTGGACTGTGGTTGTGGGCCTTCACGAGGAAGCACGTAGTGAGACTGTGGGTTGGCTGGCCCGTGGCCAGGGTAGACTCTTTGTTGTTTCCCGGTACCTGCTGAGGACAGTACCACGGATGAGGAAACACGATAGCTTACAAGACTGCATCGCCATCATTGAAGAGCGCTTAGTGTTCCATGAGACACTTTTGTACATATTAGGTGTACTAATACTTTTGTTAGGATTATTTATGAGGTGATGGAAAAAGTTATCATATGTAAATATATCGACATTTTATGAAGTGTAGTATTCAATACAACCCCCATTTTGTTTTACTTGCATTACCGAGCTCACTCCTTCAAAGCCACTACTTACTTGGGGCCGGATACCAGAACTCTATGTATCTTCTTCTATCCTATGCTTCTTCCTCGTCACCACATCATTAGCAAACTAATAGTACTGTATTACATTGTCATGAATATGGCACTTTACATGGGGGAGTGTTAGACACTCTCACTAATTTAAGGCAGAAGTTTAGGCTTCCACAGGGGCGTCAAACTGTCAAATCTATCATTAAATCTTGTGTAATCTGCCAGAGGTACGACGCTCGGGGGTGTGTCCTTACCTACGGAACGAGTCGTACATCTTCGTCCTTTTGAGACCACTGGGGTAGATCACACAAGAACGCTTATTTTAACAGGCTTTGTAAACACAATCCGGAAAAAATCCGGATTGCCTCCCACAGCACCGTGGCAAGGATGAGTCTACGAACGAATGGTAGGCAGTGTGAAACGATGCTTAAGGAAAGCCCTGCATTGCCCAAAAGTCAACAACAGACCTCTCACAAAGAGTCGACAACTGACCTCTCACAAAGAGTCGACAACTGACCTCTCACAAAGAGTCGACAACTGACCTCTCACAAAGAGTCGACAACTGACCTCTCACAAAGAGTCGACAACTGACCTCTCACAAAGAGTCGACAACTGACCTCTCACAAAGAGTCGACAACTGACCTCTCACAAAGAGTCGACAACTGACCTCTCACAAAGAGTCGACAACTGACCTCTCACAAAGAGTCGACAACTGACCTCTCACAAAGAGTCGACAACTGACCTCTCACAAAGAGTCGACAACTGACCTCTCACAAAGAGTCGACAACTGACCTCTCACAAAGAGTCGACAACTGACCTCTCACAAAGAGTCGACAACTGACCTCTCACAAAGAGTCGACAACTGACCTCTCACAAAGAGTCGACAACTGACGTCTCACAAAGAGTCGACAACTGACGTCTCACAAAGAGTCGACAACTGACGTCTCACAAAGAGTCGACAACTGACGTCTCACAAAGAGTCAACAACAGACCTCTCACAAAGAGTCGACAACAGACCTCTCACAAAGAGTCGACAACAGACCTCTCAGAGTCAACAACAGACCTCTCACAAAGAGTCAACAACAAACCTCTCACAAAGAGAGCCACTGAGTCCCTCGCATCTGCTCTATTGTAGTCTTCCTTATCCTCTAATATCTCTAGAAGATGAGAATCCAGACGACCTCCTCATTTGTCGGAAGGAACGACTTGGTGGAACGTGATAAACATCTTTCCAGAGTGAGAGGCAGGTGGAATGAAGTGTGGACTCGTGAGTATCTAACTGCTCTCAGAGAATACCATTATGGAGCTGCAAGGCCCTATAATAAAATCAGTTGATTGGCCAAGGTCTGATGTGGTCTATAGACAAAACCAATGCTGTCGACCCAGATCACCAAGGAATAAGAATAGTTAAGGTCAAGCAGAGTTGTAGAACTTTTGAAATTCTTTATTATTTTGTTTTTACCACAGACGTGGCCACACATTTGCAATGCTAACCAGCATATATACATTTTCTTCTGTCCTCCATGGACAGGGTTAGAGATGTGTTAAACATATAGTTCAAGGGTTTATTGAACACTCAACTACAGAAGGTGATTCGGTGCTTTTAAAATGTTAAGCTAACCTACATACGTAAATACATAGATATGCAGATTTACGTATGCCCTACATACAGTGTTTGATGTGTCGTATACATAGTGTCATTAATGCTTAAGGACACAGGGCAGTTAAGCCTCTAAAATTGTAGTATTATTCATACGGATCACTGGATAAAGAACTATCGTCTTCTGTGATACCAGGGAACAATCGCTGATAGCACGCGTGTATACAGTTTAAATTCTAAAAAGGCATATCATTCAGTATTTTTAAAATGGAAATTTATTTATATAACTATTAAACATTTGCGCAATTTCTTATAATTTAAGTCAACTTACGTCTGCATAGTCATGATCTATTTTTTATTGCTATTTAATTATTTGTATTACTTTTCATGTCTTAAAATAATGCTGTCACAGCCAACGACTGTGAAGAGTTCCCCAGTATATTATTGTGAGCTTACTAAATATTGGATGAAAACTGCTTTTGCATTTGTTTTAATGAGGATGAAAATCCCTATATTAGAGCTAATATCCACAAAATATATATATAACAAACTTATAAATTTAAATGTATTCGTTCATCAAGAAATTTCACCTACTATCCAATTCCGTTTTTTATGATCAGACTCTTGTTGTGTAGGAGTAACTAAAGAAGACTGAAGCAATGACACAATTTGATAGTACAGCCATACTATTCATGTTAACAAAACCAGAAAGAGAGAAAAGTCAGTTTCTAGACCAATACACTTACAACAACCTCCAGTCCTCTTAGTTTGGTGCCAATCGTGATTGAATATGTTCTTGTAATCGGATATTTGACTGAATCAAATTGAAGGGTTGAGGCTGAGAAGTTGAGGGTTGAGGTTGAGAAGTTGAGGGTTGAGGTTGAGAAGTTGAGGCTGAGAGGTTGAGGCTGAGAGGTTGAGGGTTGATGTTGAGAGGTTGAGGCTGAGAGGTTGAGGGTTGAGGCTGAGAGGTTGAGGGTTGAGGCTGAGAGGTTGAGGGTTGAGGGTTGAGGCTGAGAAGTTGAGGGTTGAGGCTGAGAGGTTGAGGCTGAGAGGTTGAGGCTGAGAAGTTGAGGGTTGAGGGTTGAGGCTGAGAAGTTGAGGGTTGATGTTGAGAGGTTGAGGGTTGATGTTGAGAGGTTGAGGGTTGAGGCTGAGAGGTTGAGGGTTGAGGCTGAGAGGTTGAGGGTTGAGGCTGAGAAGTTGAGGATTGAGGCTGAGAGGTTGAGGCTGAGAAGTTGAGGGTTGAGGGTTGAGGCTGAGAGGTTGAGGGTTGAGGCTGAGAGGTTGAGGGTTGAGGCTGAGAAGTTGAGGGTTGAGGCTGAGAGGTTGAGGCTGAGAAGTTGAGGGTTGATGTTGAGAGGTTGAGGGTTGAGGCTGAGAAGTTGAGGGTTGAGGCTGAGAGGTTGAGGGTTGAGGCTGAGAAGTTGAGGGTTGAGGCTGAGAGGTTGAGGCTGAGAAGTTGAGGGTTGAGGGTTGAGGCTGAGAGGTTGAGGGTTGAGGCTGAGAGGTTGAGGGTTGAGGGTTGAGGCTGAGAGGTTGAGGGTTGAGGCTGAGAAGTTGAGGGTTGAGGGTTGAGGCTGAGAGGTTGAGGCTGAGAAGTTGAGGGTTGAGGGTTGAGGCTGAGAGGTTGAGGGTTGAGGTTGAGAAGTTGAGGCTGAGAGGTTGAGGGTTGAGGCTGAGAAGTTGAGGGTTGAGGGTTGAGGCTGAGAGGTTGAGGGTTGAGGCTGAGAAGTTGAGGGTTGAGGGTTGAGGCTGAGAGGTTGAGGGTTGAGGCTGAGAAGTTGAGGGTTGAGGGTTGAGGCTGAGAGGTTGAGGGTTGAGGCTGAGAGGTTGAAGGTTGAGGCTGAGAGGTTGAGGGTTGAGGCTGAGAGGTTGAGGGTTGAGGCTGAGAAGTTGAGGGTTGAGGGTTGAGGCTGAGAGGTTGAGGGTTGAGGCTGAGAAGTTGAGGGTTGAGGGTTGAGGCTGAGAGGTTGAAGGTTGAGGCTGAGAGGTTGAGGGTTGAGGCTGAGAGGTTGAGGGTTGAGGCTGAGAGGTTGAGAGTTGAGAATTTTGCTACAGATTACCTACTTATAATTATGTGTTAGATTAAGGACTTTTCCAAAACGATATATGCATGTTAGCGGCATTACCCATACTGCCTACCTGGGGCCGCCTAGAGAGAGAGTGGCCCAAGTTAATTCAAGTTAACCCTTTTAGTAAGGCCAACAGAAATAAGTTATAACTAATAAAAAGGACACAATATGTTCATTTAACAGTGGCATTAACAGATATATAAATTTAGTTAAGAATAAGTTTAGCCTCGGAGCCATAGCCTATATTATTTATATATATTTAAATTTCTTTAGTATTTCCAGACAAATTTGTAAACTTTCAGCTACTGAAAGGACTTTCGATTTGTGTAGAAAAAGTGGATTTTGTTAAAGCCTTTGATAAGGTACCATATAAAATACTGACAAAAAAATTACAGGCACATGGAATAAATGGAAGAATACTAGAATAGATAAAAAAATATGGTTAAAACAAAGAAAACAAAGAGTGGCGCTAACTGGGAATGAATCTGATTGGAAAAAATTTGGTAAGTGGGATTCCACAGGGGGACCATTTTGAGGCAGAACCATCTAATTTATTTATTTTTATTTATGTATTTATTTATATACAAGAAGGTACATTGGGTTTGTGAGAATACATAGCATAGTACAGTAATTACACTCTTGTAAAGCCACTAGTATGCGCAGCGTTTCGGGCAGGTCCTTAATCTAACAGATCTCTGTTCTCTATTGAATCTAACAGATAGATCTAACAGATCTATCAGATCTAACAGATCTAACAGATGCGTTGCCCGAAACGCATCCAAGTACATAGTGGCTTTAGGCATTGTATGAACTGCGCTCTATCTCCCCGGCCATATCAATCCATTAATGTAACATCACTTGTATGTACTATACCTTACCTGAATAAACATCTGAATCTGAATCTGAAATCTAATCTAATTACATGGGCCCACGAGTACTGGGGCCCCACGAGCACAGGACATGTTCATTATGGAAGGAGAAGTGTTAAATATTTAGATCTTATTCCAAGTACACTTATATAATATAAACCTACATCCTGGTGTAGAACTAAATACTAAATATTTAAGATATATATTTCTAGGTGAACAAACCTTAAAACAGGAATGAAAAGAAATGTTTTAAGCCGAGCGTAAATGTTTCATACTGTGCCATCTAATGTGTAGCCTACTGAGTATTATTGTCTCTTTCAAGCCATGTGTATTGTTCAAATGTTTATCATGTTGATTAATTGTGGCTCTACAGCATGTTGTTAATTTTTGTAACACCTGTTTTGGAAAGTGCCAATAAAGCAGTTAGCCAATTAAACCAATTTAGCAGCCAAGCAGTTAAACCTATTTAGCAGTCTCCGTGGTGTAGTGGTAAGACACTCGCCTGGCGTTCCGCGAGCGCTATGTCATGGGTTCGTATCCTGGCCGGGGAGGATTTACTGGGCGCAATTCCTTAACTGTAGCCTCTGTTTAACACAACAGTAAAATGTGTACTTGGATGCAGCTAATCGGAACAAGTTTCCAAGTAGCACGGGCTATGGTGAGCCCGTAGTGGACTTACCTGGCACAGGAGCGGTGTTCCGGTCCTGTTTTGGGCCCCAACCCTTTTTGTCATATACATCAATGACAGAGATGAGAATATTACAAACCACAGTATAAAAATTTGCAGATGACACAAAGATTTATGGTAAAGTGGGACATGATAATAATGTGGAATCCTTATAAATTAAGAGATTTACACGAACACCAAGATATATGGGGCCAGATTCACGAAGCAGTTACGCAAGCACTTACGAACCTGTTCATCTTTTCTCAAACTTTTGCGGTTTTGTGTACAATTATTAAACAGTTAATGAGGTCCGAAGCACCAGGAGGCTGTTTATAACAATAACAACAGTTGATTGGGAAGTTTTCATGCTTGTAAACTGTTTAATAAATGTAACCAAAGCCATCAAAGATTGAGGAAAGGTGTACACGTTCTTAATAAGTACTTGCGTAACTGCTTCGTGAATCAGGCCCCTGGTCGCCCGGAGTGTTTGCTGTCATATCAGCCTCCTGTACACAGTAATCCAGTCGTCGCACTTCTTGGCTCAAATTGTCGCAAATTTAATTGGTGATATTAACAAGAAGAATACGTATTTATAATAATATTTTTCATAAATAGCCACGAAATATTTAATATTTAGTTAAAAAAAAGTGTCTGGAAGTTAAATCAACTTCACAGAACAATAATTTTGTTATATAGTTACTAACGGTATTCGTTGGTATGCGTTCGCTACTTAAACTGTTCATGTCCTTTTCGCTCATAGCAAACCTACTTACGAAGAAATACATGAAGCTTCGTAATTACCTAAGTGTAGTTACAGGATGAGAGCTACGCTCGTGGTGTCCCGTCTTCCCAGCACTCTTTGTCATATAACGCTTTGAAACTACTGACGGTCTTGGCCTCCACCACCTTCTCCCCTAACTTGTTCCAACCGTCTCCCACTCTGTTTGCGAAAGTGAATTTTCTTATATTTCTTCGGCATCTGTGTTTAGCTAGTTTAAATCTATGACCTCTTGTTCTTAAAGTTCCAGGTCTCAGGCGCCTCCTAACCGGTATGTTATTAATAATATTGAAAGGCCAATAAATAATATTTGGACTGTTTATGACAAACAGGAAACGAGGTACTTACTTTTTTTTTTTTTTTTTTTTTTTTTTTTGAGATATATACAAGAGTTGTTACATTCTTGTACAGCCACTAGTACGCGTAGCGTTTCGGGCAAGTCCTTAATCCTATGGTCCCTGGAATACGATCCCCTGCCGCGAAGAATCGTTTTTTCATCCAAGTACACATTTTACTGTTGCGTTAAACAGAGGCTACAGTTAAGGAATTGCGCCCAGTAAATCCTCCCCGGCCAGGATACGAACCCATGACACAGCGCTCGCGGAACGCCAGGCGAGTGTCTTACCACTACACCACGGAGACTGCTTACAAAACTTAAGAGGTTGAGGCAGCTGAAGAACGTTGGAATGGCTCTAGGGGCCAGATTCACTAATCAGTTACGCAAGCACTTACGAACGTGTACATCTTTCCTCAATCTTTGACGGATTTGGTTACATTTATTAAACAGTTTACCAGCATGAAAACTTGCCAATCAACTGTTGTTATTGTTATAAACAGCCTCTTGGTGCTTCCGAGCTCATTAACTGTTTAATAATTGTAAACAAAGCCGCCAAAGATTGAGAAAAGATGTACAGATTCGTAAGTGCTTGCGTAACGGCTTCGTGAATCTCGCCCCCAGTTACAGAGATGTTCAGCGCCATCTATGTTCCAGCGGCTCAGTTATTAAGATGTTCAGCGCCATCTATGTTCCAGCGGCTCAATTACTGAGCTGTTCAGCGCCATCTATATTCCAGCGGCTTAGTTACTGAGATGTTAAGCGCCATCTATGTTCCAGCGGCTCAATTACTGAGATGTTCAACACCATCTATGTTCCAGCGGCTCAATTACTGAGATGTTCAGCGCCATCTATATTACTAAGATGTAACTATTTACAGTGTCCAACTAGTCAAGTCTGGCGTTAGTTAATGTTGGTGAGAGTGAGGTGTCCGAGGTGTCGCCTGGCAGGACACAACCACAACACGTGCGGCTCTCGTCACACTTTGTAAGGATTATCCTGCTCCTTAGAGCCGAGGTCTTGTGCATGGTTGGAATTGTATCGTGCTGAATATTCCAGCTTTTGGTGTGTGTGTGAGCTACATAAAGCTGGACATTAATTTCATTAAATGAAGCAGAATTGTTTGGATACAGTTGACTGTACATAGAAGATGGGTCGTGTACGAATGTTCCAACCAAACATAAGCCTATAAATTCATTTTATAAGCCTATAATATTACTTGAGTATGTGTGAAGCTTGATTTCAGATGGACCAAATACGAAAAATACAGTGTTTTAATAATATATGAAGCAAACAGCCAGTAGGTCTATTGGATATGATTATGTATATGACATGACTGACCTAGTGACTATATTTTTTTTAGATTTTTAGTAGTTTGGTAATAGTTTTAGTTCAATTTAGATTTACCCAGGTATATGGCACATTATACATGAGTTAGTTTCTTCATTTATTGTGCACAGCATGAGTCCATCCAGTGGGGGTAGTGGAAGAGGATAGAAGCATATAATGGTCTCTGGAACTGAATTCCAAATTCATTTATCTTAAGTTAGTCTGATAAGCTAGTTACAGTCCAAAGCTAATGCTATGCTCAGCTATGACCAAAGAGCCAAAGCGCAACCCCCGCAAGCACAACTAGGTGAGTACAGTCGTTGTATATATATCTAGTCAATTATAGCACAATTGGTTCAAGAACTGGACCACAAGTCTCTAAACCGAGCAATTTCCTAGTGAACCAATTACTAGTACATTAGTAGTAGGCATCCTACAGTCACGGGAGACAGAACCAATTACATGTTTACTAATCATGCTCACCGCACCTATATAATGGGCTGCGGTGGAAAGTTTGTCGTGTGCATGAACTATTTATAAACATTCGACAAGCCGCCGGCTTCCTTTCCTTACCGAGGCCACTAGGGTTAGTGGGCCTCAAGTAAATCGGAAAAAATTTACGCAAGCAAACTTTGGATATTTGGTTAGGTTTTCTGATAACATCATTCTGAATTATAGACATTTCTTCATCATTTGTATTTTTGTATTCAAATTTTCAAAAAAATTTGAAATTTTCACTAGATATGTGAATCGGGCCACCGAGCCACCCAAAAGTATTAAGTGAGGTTAGAACTTTTTAGGTCATCGCAAAGATATAAATTATGTAAATAAATAATCTAAATAGACTAGCCTAACATTTGTATTTAAATGGTGCAATGCATTTTTAGGCATGTGCCATTTTATGATATACGGTACCTTAGTTTATAATAGATTTATTTAAATAATGTGTTGATGTTTATAGGTTTGCTTTGGCAGCGTGCACGAAGAAATCACCATGGCAGATATATTTAGGTCTGAGGATGCTTGTCGTCTGTTGAAAAAGAAATTCATTTACTTGATTGGAGACTCAAGTAAGTTTAATTCTTGTCATGGTATCAAAATGTAAAACAGTTGTATATAGTAGTAATTTTGTTCAAGTTTGTTACGTTGCTATGAACTCGAAGCAGTACAATTATTATTCCATAGATCTTGAATTGTCTTAATCTTAAGCCCATCCTTAGATTATTAGACCTACATATTATTTGTAAAGTTGGGCAATTCCTTCCCATTGGTATATTTCGGGAAAGATATGTTGTCTGATATGTACAATATAATTTAAGACGGCATCTCGTCGGCATTGAATCATAAACAACTTGCCTAACCTAACAGTGCTAGGCAAGGCAGTGGTGTGTAAGGTATCATACTCTGATGACTATTTAAGTACTAATAACTGTGTAGACAGTGTCACAGAGATATATTATGTGTCAAGTCACATGTTCTAATCTGAAGACAAGTTCAGTCTGAAGCTGTGTTAGACATACGGACAATAAGTCGCAAAAAATTTGGCAGTAAATTAGAGGCCTAACAAACAAATATTGTTATTACCTTCATTAAGGTTATAAAAAAATTTCATATTTTTTATTATATAAACATTTCATTTTTTATAAAGTACAGTACTTGCATATTTAAATACTGTACAGTACATGCAAAGTTGTGTTCAAGCAGATTAGTTTTGTTCTGATATTATGGGAAACCTGTTGCCGAAAAGCAAGTTTTCCTTCCCAGTCACTTAGGTGATGTCAAACATGTCCTCGTAATTATTTGTTTGCTCCTTTTCAGATATGCGTTCATTTTACCTAGACCTGCTGTACCTATTAAAGGAAGGTGGTATTACACCAGCACATGTGTTCCGCAAGGGCGGTCCAGTAAGTATTATCGCTAGTGGCCTTAAGAAGGGCGGGATGTCTGCAGATGGTGAGGTTCCCCCACAATTTGCTCAAATAACTTTCCAGGTGTATTTTCAGCTTGACTTGGAGGCTAATTAATTTTGTGCCGAACTGATGAATTATTAATTCTTCCACATGTTAGACATGCTGGATATGTCCTGGCATCTGAGGCTTCAAAATAAATGATGATGTACTCGTATGCTTCAAGAATTACTATTAAATAATGTTTTGTTTGCTTTAAAATAATTTTTGTTTCTTTTACAGGGAAAATCATCATATTGTGGTGACAAATTAGTGGATGTGTCTACGAGTGCCGCACATGGACGAAATTTTTTTGAAATACGCCAATATCAGGTGAAGTTATAGAGATGTGGTTACCCACCACTTGGTGTGAACCCAATTAACTGAAGTAATAGGTACATTCAGATTTAAATGAAAGGTAATCAAATTGAAGAAGGGGCTAGGAAAGGTTGGTGATGAGAGAGTTTCAGGCATCCCTCTTTATCAGTCCAGCAACTAGGAGGCCTGGTCGACGACCGGGCCGCGGGGACGCTAAGCCCCAGAAGCACCTCAAGGTAACCTCAAGGTAAGGTACCCCAATACCTCTAAAAGTTTTCTATGCAAGTTCATTTGGCGAACCTGATCTATTTATTTCTGGCTTTATTGATTTCACTAAATGGAAATTTGGTAAATAATGATTGGACAATCAGCCTTAAATTCACAAATTGTAGGAGTGGATAAGGATTGTGAACCTGTAATCCCAAAATTTCTTCCCACTAAAGTAGGAAGTAGTCTAAGGATTGGGGCTCTTATCTATCCAGGCCTCTGAAAGTAAAGGATGTGTGGAATGTGAGAGGAATAAAATTGGAACAGATGCTCATGGGTTAATAGCAGTAGAAATGGGTAATCTTAGAAAGATGTGGAATGTTAGAAGAATGAACAGAGCTAGGAATGAAAGTGCTAGTGAGATGTGAAGTGAAATAATGCATAAAAAAAGCAAAATTGAGATATACTGGTATATGATCTGGTGAAGATAGAGCAATAAAGGTCTCTTAAGGGTTAAGGAGAGGAGGAAGACCTGAAGAAGGTTGGTAGACATTGCAAGTGAGTGTGAGAAAGTGGAAAGTGACTTTGTTCAACATAAAGGATATGCCAAGGAACAAGACTGTGTGGATGGTGTTTGTTAGGGATTGTATTTGTATACTGTATATAATAATTTACACGAAACACTGTACTCCTGATCTTGTGAAGTGGTGAAGCACTACTGTTGATATCTGCAAGTGTGTTGAGGGTCTTGTTGTTGTTCTGTGATGCTGTTTAGTATGAATGATACAATGAATGGACGAGTGATATTTATATTTGTGTAAGTATTTCTTTCAATGTTATTGGCCTTTTTTTCTATAAGGTGATGCCTGCCCATCCCATGAAAGTGGGGAACAGGGAAATGATGATGTATGAATGTTAGAACCAGTCTTGGTTACAGCCAAGGCTTATAGTGTATTGTGTCTATCATTGCTGGTTGTAATTACTTCGGTGTAATTACAGGATGAGATCTATCTATACTCATGATGTTTCGTTATCCCAGTACTCTGTCATATGACGCTTTGAAACTACTGACAATTTTAGCTTCACGACGTTCCTACACACTTTACCACTTCAGTTAGTTGTTGTTTTCTCTATTGCCTAAGCTAAGCAGATAAAAGTAATAATGAATTGTACAGTCAAGAGATTGTGAAATTTGTAAGAAGCTGTATGGAAATGTTTATTTACTTAGCTTTAATGCATGCTACTTACAAATTTATCTGGTTGTATAGACCACATGTTAAAATTGCCAGTCATCCCTGAAAAGAATAAAGGTTCACAAAGTATGATTGCTATTGTGACCTTTTTGTTTGGACCCTTCAAACAGGATGACAATGTGATCATTCGCTACTGCTACATAACTCGAGTGTACTCAAACCTGGTCAAGCGAGAGTTGAAAGACATTGAAAAGGGTGTGCTTTCCGTGCCAGATGTGGTGATAGTCAACTCCTGTCTCTGGGATATAACAAGGTATGTATGTGATCTGTTTCAAAACACTAATGAGTTACAAGCAATTTGTACTGGAGTGCAGTCAGTGTGCTTGCAATTTTTGTTTGGGTTTCTGCTAACAATTGTTTGTGAAAGGTCTGTTAACAATATCCTTGTATAGGGTATCTGCTTAAAATTGTTTGACAGGTATCTGCTAATAATTATTTGTGATATGTTTATTCTAACAATTGTTTGCAACTGATGTACTCACCTATGGTAGGTGTACCCACCTATGGTACGCCTATGGTATGTACCCATCTAAAATAATATATCTGCATTTCAGCTGGACAAAGTGTACCAATGACAAGGGTTTATTATAACCAATAAAGCAGCAATGCTATTTTATGTCGATGATTTGAAGTAGAGGGAAGTTCTCACCGGGAATAATCCCCCCTTAACGAGGATGAAATTGCACCTAATTTTAGTGGCATTGAGGGTGATGGGTGTAATAATAATCATCTAAATTTTTGTAAAATAATATACAGAAACGTAAGATAATGATGGTTGTTTATTTGTTACATGAAGGTGCACATTCAATAAAGGCAGTACTCTAATACACAGGATTTTTGGGCACATGTAACATGGGTACCAGTTTGAAGTACTGTACGTATATGTGTGCTTATAGATGGGGAGCAATGAGGGAAGACAAATACAAGCAAGAAATGGTAGATTTGGTTCACCATCTGCAGTGTCTGTTGCCTGATGACACTCTAATTATATGGACCACAACGTTACCTGTCTCAACCGAAAAAGTTAAAGGAGGAGTCTTCATAAAACAGGTGAAACTGTTGTACAGTATTGCATCTAGTAATATCAGATTTTTTATACTATTTAGAATAGATAGCCAATTACTGGCTGTAGTTGTAAAGAAAAACAAAGTACCTGATGCTTGTAGTAACGAAATACACCTGCGGCCTCAGAATTAGTGATGTTTCCTTGTTAAGCCCATCCACTTGAACTGGTCGGCAGCAATGACCTCGGTTCATTAACCCATCCTCCGAATTAACAGTACGGTTTGATACTAAGTGTAAGTACAATTCGTGACTGCTAGGAATAGTACATAATTACACTTACTTGTGCCGTTACATTTACCTTCCCCATATTCGGAGGATGGGCTGCCTCGGTTCATGCAGGGTCAGTGTTTGATTCCCGTTGGTTCAAGTGGTTGGGTTCTTTCACTCCATCCTCGTATCCTGTCCAAGTGCTATGTAACCATATTGGCTTAGCACTTTCTCCTGATAATTATGCATCTTACCTTTTACACATTTACATTTGGTTTAGTATGCTTGCTTTCTGGTGGCTGGTTACCTTTCTTACACCTCCCCAAATTTAGTTTGCTTTTGTATATTTTTGTTACTATTATGTTCACCTTTGCATTTTTTTATATATATATTTTTTAATGTTTATAGTTAATCTCAAAATGATACACACTTGTGTTTTGCTCTGATGTTCTCCCATGTGGTTTGGAACCTCAACATTGGCATCTTTATTAAACAATGCTAATTTCTAACTCTTCATAGCGATGTTTTTTTTGTAATTACAGTACATGTATAATGAATAACCAATTTTCGGTGTTGGGTTTATTATTTCTTCAGTTTGTTACACTGTATTCAGGTGGCTGGTTTCTCCAGGTGTCCACTGCAGTACTCCAGGGACACTGAACCCTTTAATGCTTGCCAATTTTTGTAATTTTCCTGTGGATTACAGCTGGAGTTCATGACACATAGCATGCGGTTCATGATTATGGAAGCCAATAAGTTTGCCCAGCAGCTATGCATGGCATTTGATATAGACCTACTTGACCTGCACTACCACATGTGCTTTCAGCTCCACAGGTATGCTCTTGATGTCATGTCATATTGTTTTTCCTTTCAGCGGTTAAATATTCAGATTGCTTGCTCATTGTCTAAAGATATATTGTAAAGGGTGAATGAAGCTTAGATCTTAGAAAGGTACTTTTGTGAATACAAGCCCTTTGGTTGCTCTCATAGCCAGGGCTAGGGATCATGGAGAAGACTGATCACATGCCATACCCTCATCAACTCGGGAATCCTACAGTGATGACAAATTTCAAATGGTCTTGAGGTGTAGTTTAAGGGGTAGGATGGTAATGGGGAACAGAGCTTTGTCTCACACACCCAGGATACCGCTCACTTTGATACCAAAGAATGGATCAAAATCTTCATCATTTCCCCTTAAGTGATGATTTGCATCACAAGTATGGTGAATTAAATAGTTCAGCAGACTATCGACCAAACTACCCACTGCAATCCACTACAGGGTTGCGGATGTTGGCTAACGTATCTTTGTGCCTGGTATCTACCGGGCTTGCTGCTGCAACTTTTCAAAAGTCAATTCAATTAAATTTTTCTCAAGGTTTTGTCTCGGGAGGAAGTTGCTTTGCTTTGGTGTTCACTTGACAGTGGTGTGTTGAGTTGCTGGCTTACATTTGACCATTTCTTCTGGCTTCAAGTTGGTTTCTAGGTTCTTTTCTCAGGTACGGATTATCATTGGCCAACAATGGCCAGATATCTTATTTATGGTTGTTAGGTAGCCTTTAGTATGGTTCAACTTCTCTTGGTTTGGCGGTACTTTAGGTGAGCCTCTGATGTGCTCCAGATATCCTGGTGTGTGTTCCCAGTCCCCGTGGAGTCATCTTCCTGGTTGTGTCGGTTCATTTGAGGGGTCATTTTTCAAGCTATGCTGGAAGACCATTTGACACATTACTTGTGAAAATTGTGTTCAAAGTTACTGAGGGCTTAGCATGTGAGCAGTCTCCTAGGTGGACCTGGTGGACTTGGAGAGCAACTGAGGGATTTAAATAATTTCCAGTAAAGACATGGCTTGGAAGGTTTTGAATGAATATGCAGGTACTGTACTAATTCTCCTGGTCATTTTGATTTGATGTACCTTGTATATAATTGTAAAAATGATATGTTTTATAAAAATGTGAAGAAAATATTTTTCTTAAACAAGCTGTACATAAATTGTTTTCATCCTTGCATCAAAGCAAAAATATATATCCAGTACTGAACAAACACTAACTACATTTTTACTTGAAAAGAGAGAGAGAGAGAGAGAGAGAATTTTTTCCTCCTCTCCTCCCCCATTTGGTGACTGAATTGTCATATTGTGCTTTGTTGACCAGACCACACACTAGAAAATGAAGGGACGACGACGTTTCAGTCCGTCCTGGACCATTCTCATGTCAATTGACAATCAACTTGAGAATGGTCCAGGACGGACCGAAACGTCATCATCCCTTCACTTTCTAGTGTGTGGTCTGATCAACATACTTCAGCCACATTATTGTGACTCCTCGCCTGCATATTGTGCTTTGATTCTTCTGTCAATAGTATCAAGGCAATATTATTCAACATTGTTGAACATTGCCTTGATACTTCTTAATACTTAATATTTCTTCTCCTGAAATGTGGTTTGGTCTTTGACATTGTTTTTATACCAATAACCCCCCATGTGGATTGTTACCTTGCATCAAATGCATGGAGAGACATGTAATTCTCACTGAGACAAACTTGGATGTGAGACTTGAAGACTGGGAAGGCACAAGGTACAATATATGTAGAATAGTACCTTTAATATGCTGCAGTGCAAGACTAATGCTGGGAAAGACATTTAAATGTCAACAAATACTGTAATTGCTTATACTGTACATGATACTTCCATCCTTCAACTTGCAAGTCCTTCATATTTGTCATTTTGATATATATATTTAGTGACCTTACACCCACTTTGATTTGCATTCCATAAATTTGATTGATGTTCTTTTTCTTCGAGGACATTCCAAGTAACTTTGCTGTGCTGAGTACTGATTAAGCCTGACAGTACTGGCCTGACGGCTGAGTGGACAGCGCTCGGGATTCGTTGTCCTGAGGTTCCAGGTTCGATTCCAGGTGGAGGCGGAAACAAATGGGCAGAGTTTCTTTCACCCTGATGCGCCTGTTCATCTAGCAGTAAATAGGTACCTGGGAGTTTGACAACTGCTACGGGCTGCTTCCTGGGGGTGTGTAACAAACAGGAGGCCTGGTCAAGACCGGGCCGCGGGGACGCTAAGCCCCGAAATCATCTCCAGATAACCTCAAGAAGGAAGCCATATCTTAGGGAGATGCATCAGGCCACAATTCATCAAGTATCCACTTATGAAACCAGTATATCTTTCAATTATCATGGCAGTTTTGTTCACAGTTATTAAACAGTGTACGAACTTTGAAACTTCACTCTCCAAGGGTATTATTATAAACAACCTTATAGTGCTTCAGAGGGTATAAACTGTTTACTAATACAAACAAAGCTGGGATGATTGAGGAAGGAGGTACAGATTTTGTAAATGGCTGCATAAGCGCATGATGAAAGCGCAAGTGCAAGCTGGAACCGTAAAAAAACACTCTTCAAGGCAAAGCAAGCATAGGGTATCATAGATCAAACAAAAAGCAAAGAATCACCAGAGTGCATATACCCAACATACACAAGCCATCGCTTGAACGATGTTAGGGACACTAAAGGCAACAATGGGAATGATTGTTACCACAACGTAAACATTCCAACCCTGTTATAACTGACTGCCACCAGGTGGCAACCCAGGTCACCTGCAGGAACTGACAGCTAACCTCCATCACTTAACCTATCTATTACTTCATGGTTGAGTCAAGTGGTATTAGGTGTCCCCAGAACAGTGGGGAGCATTTCGGTCATTCCTCTCTCTGCTCGTTGTACATGGGGGGGGAAAGCTTTATGCTTTCACAGATTGTTTCTATCTGGGGCTGCTTACACCTTTCCCACTGGGTGTTTATTGTTGGGATTAGGGGGGTTTGTTCATCAGAGATGTTCCCATCATTCCTAGAGTGCCTTCCAGTCTGTAAGATAGTCCAAGTAGCTAAAATCTCTCTCCTTTATATGAAATGTTTTGTGAGAATTTTTCAGGCTGAAATATGTTCCCTTGCACTTCTGGAGTTCTTTTGCCAAGGCAGGTACTGTATCTGTTTTAGTAAAAAATGGAATAGTGTTCTATATCAGATTTTACTGTAAGAAAACAAGTTAAATCTTTGTAGTTATATACAGAGAGTTGATGTATTTCAGGCGAACAAATGATGGTCTACACTGGGAACCTCCAGCATTAAGGCACATTACCAATTTAATGCTCACACACATAGGTGAGCGAGATTTCCTTCCACTAGTTCTGCTCGTATCTTCCTCGTAGTAGATTTGGTTAGGATCTGTTTAAGTAGTGTGTTATTGAAAAAATGGAGATTAAATAGAAGATATATGCTATCTTTGAGTTGGTAGAGTGGATTTAAGGGTGGGAAGAAGGCAGAGATTGGGAGTAGACAGTGCTATAGAAGGCAGGGATTAATTATGTTGGGACTCATTAAGTGATAGGGAATAAGACTAGGTTTTAATCAGTTTTAAGAGGGAGTCATTATATTAAATTTTTAAATGATGGCTCACGTTAAGCCCTTTTAAACCTAGTCACGTGAAGCAGTGAGTGCTATTGTGAATATTGGTGTGTTGATACTAATATTGTGATGCTTATTCAGTGTTGAAAGATATGGAGACAGAGCAAGTGTGACTTTGCTCCTCTATTTGCTCTGGGCTAATGTCCCCCCCCCCCCATCCCATGAAAATGAGACTCAAGGTAATGACAATGTGTGTTTACACACACGTGTGTTTACACACACGTGTGTTTACACACACGTGTGTTTACACACACGTGTGAAAGGTTAGCAAGGACAAAATAATTAAATGAAAAAAATACAAACACGCAGGTTAACAAAATTTGAGTGAGAGTGCAGAAGTAAAATTGGCGAGATTTGAATTATGTGCACGCATGCATCCTGCCATTTGTGGTTGTTTATATACACATTCATGTCTGTGCACATTTGTGTTTGGTCTCTTGACATTTTGGTTATGAATATTGGCCCAGTCCCCAGAATATAAATATTGTATCCATTTAGTGTAAATCTCAAATTTTGCTACTGTATTTGTTTTCAGCCCTCTGCTGGGAGAAACCCTTGCCGGGTAACTTCGTTGGTAGCTACGTACGAAGTGCTATATCTCGTATCACAGAAGGAACCCTCGAAGATAAGGTACGAGTTTCAAGCGTCCTGGAAATAGAGAAAAGTATTGCTGGTAGTTGACAAATGTATGTATTTTTCATTGTTCAGATTGTTTAACCCTTGGAGAGTGTGAGAGTGTGTGTGTGTGTGTGTGTGTGTGTGTGTGTGTGTGTGTGTGTGTGTTAGTGTTATAAAACCTACTACTGCCTGTGTGTGCAAGAACAATGACAATACAATCAATTAGTATATATGTAATTGTGCATTTGCATTGAAACAGATGTTGCCATTCATTTTCTAATGTTGACTTCAGTTCATTTGCTGGGTGCTATTATTTTTCTCTCATAATTTGACAAATGTTACAAAGCTGTGTTTAACTTTATTGACAATTATGGTGCACCAACCAAGTACAGTCATGTTATTGTGAAGAATCTATATTTGACATCGCTCGTCTACTAATTTAACCAACGCTTCAATATAAAATAAGATTTACAACCAGTGTTTTGGTTTTAACGATTTTTTCTTTGGTTTCTTTCACTGTTTTGTGGCAGTTTGTTTTGAGTGGGTACTCAGAAGTGTTCACTTCATAATGTTTGAGAGATTGGCTTTTGAGTCATTATGTAAAGTTTGAGAGAGAGGTTTGAGACTGGGTTTTTGCAGGGAGAACTCTGTTTCACTGAACAAAAAGTCTCTCTCTCAGGAAAAGGTTCAGCTAGACCAGGAGATCTTGCAGTACATTCAGAAGAAATCACAAGAAAAAACGTTGAATAAAATAACTAGAGTTTCACCTGGGAATGGAGTAAATGATCACGTCAAAGGGAAACCAAACGATGAGGCAAATACCAGAGGTAAGAGCATGATTCTTTTTTTTTTTATACTGTATAGCATATTTAATATATATATTTTTTGTATGCAATTTATATTAAGAATATACGTACAGGGAAGAGACGTAGGGCTACATCTTGCTTCGTCTATTCTGTTTTATAGGAGAATGCATCTTTGATTTTAATACATTGACTCATGTATTACAGTAACTTGAGTGAAATACAGTACAGTACTTTTAAATCAAACAGGTTTAGGATCTGAAAATTGAGGAAATTAACAAATTTGTATGTTCATAAATAATTCTTTGGATTCAAGAGTTAAGATAAATACTGTAATTTAATTTTTCAACACCACCATAGAATATTTGTGTTACTGTGTTATATAAATGTTTAGTTGGGCCTCGCTATGCACGGGTTCAGAGAATTTCAATTTGCACCTGTAGAATTTTGTTTTTAACTAAGACTGGAAATGCACGAGGGAAGGTTCAACAATTTGCAAGCTGGCAAGAGGTTCATGGCAGACTAGTTTTGATACACATTGCTTTGTGTTGATCGATTAGTTTAGCCCCCTGCGTGATCCATCAACTGGAGTTGTGATTCGGTTCATTTGGGTGCCTCAGCTGGTGCCCACATTAATACAACTACTATGGTTGTATGTGGAAGTATATAGTAGTAAATATTTATCATCGGGAAATGGAATGGAGGTCAACCTCCATCTTAAACTTTCTGGGTGAATTGTGTGCATGTACTTACCATATGTTATCTCCAGGTATGCAGTGGATTATTGCTAGAATCACTTACAAAACTCATGAGTCTTAATAATTCTGGTGTCTGTGGGAAGATTAATATGTTAAATTAAATAATTTGAGGATATGAAAACATCCATTTAAAACACTTGGAATATAATGTAGGTTCTCCTTCGGTACAAAAACTAAATTTTTACAGAATCTTTGAAAATGTTGGTGTGTGTGTGTGTGTGTGTGTATGTGTGTATTTACTATTTGTGTCTGTAGAATCAAGCTATTAGCTCTTGGACCCCACTTTTCTAACCAATGTATTTTTCCTCTATTATATCTACTACGTATATTTCTTACACATGTGCACTCGCACATCCCCAGGAAGCTGCCGTGGTAGTAGTAGACATCCATCAGTCTCGGGAGACTATGGAGTTGCGCGCTGTTGTCGGTCTGGAGTGGCCTCTCCAGGGCACAAAGCCAGGGTAGGTTGATATGGAGGAGAAGCTGTTACCCAAGCAGCAGGTCCCCTCCCCACCTCCTCTCCACAATGGCGAAAGATTCCATTGGAAAGGCAAACGCCAATATGATTGGTTCCAGTGCCATCACAGGAACTGTCACAACGATGTTGAAGGCAACAACAAACTGCCTTAGGGGCTCCTGCTCAAGAGTTTACCTTGAGGTGGGTAAAAGAAGGCACAGGGACTCCAAACCCGGAGACCGCCGTGGTCGGGGCCGGAGAAGAACCACCCCATCAAGGGCAAGAATGAACCCATCCTGAAGCAGAGGTTGGACCACACGATCCCCAGTAGGTAGACGTCCGAGTCCCGAACTTGATGTGTGGTTTGGTCATCCTATGTCCATTTCCATCCATCCATTCCCGAAAGATGCATTCATAAATTTTAACGTGCTGTTCATTCACCTCCACTGGGGATTGAACCCAGAGCCTTAGGACTACGAATCCTGAGCGCTGTTCATTCAGCTGTTAGACCCCCACAGAGCCCTGTGGTGCATCACTTTCCACTTCTCAGTAGCCTGACTTCACCTCTCTGTCTACGACCCTTTGTTTCCTGTTGGACAATTACTCCCATATCCAGTTCAGTGTCTTTCTTGTTATTCCCCACTTGTCTCCATCTTGGGTATCATTTTGTTATGAAGAACTGTTTCAAAAGCTTTTTGGCAGTCTATGAAGATGAAGTTTGTCCATCTTTCTCTTGAAGTTTCTCTTGTCTTATTTTCGAGACCCCTGTCATAGAATTCAATCAAGTTTAATAAGCTTACTTTCTTGCAGCGGAAACTCGAAAACATCGATCGGCAGCTCGTAAGAAGAGACCATTCAAGAGCTGTAATAGAAATGAAAGTGACAAGAGAGCAAGGACATCTGTCAGTGTTGCTCCAAGTTTATTGCCTCCACTCATGGAAGTATCAGGGTTTCATGGACAAAAAGAAAATTCAGTAATAGGACTGAGAGAGACCACTGAAAATAGAAGAGAATTCAGTAGTGTGTTTGGCCATGCCGGTGCTCAGTCTGGCCGTGAGGAGGCTCAATATGTTCGTGCTAGGGCTCAGTCTGGCTATAACATGGGTCAGCTTGGGTATAACATGGGTCAGCCTGGCTATAACATGGGTCAGCTTGGGTATAACATGGGTCAGCCTGGCTATAACATGGCTCAGCCTGGCTATAACATGGCTCAGTCTGACTATAACATGCCTCATTTTGGCTATGCTAGGACTCAGAATGACTATAATATGGCTCACTCTTCCCCTCAGAATGACTATAATATGGCTCACTCGTCCCCTCAGAATGACTATAATATGGCTCACTCTTCCCATAACGGTTCTCCATCTTATCACGATGAGGTTCAATCTGCCCGGGATTTAGCTCAGCATTACGCTAACCGGATTAGGGATGCCTTAGAGTCAGAGAACAGCGTGGATCATTGCAGAGGTGGCAGCAGGCCAGCTACGCATTACAATATTCAGAGAGAGAACTGTGGGAATGTGTACCAACAGAACCAGGAGCATCCTAGCTTGATGGGAGAATACCATTCTCGCCAAAACAGGTTCCAGACCAACAATTCAGTGCATGATAATACCCATAATCAGTTTCAAGGTATGCACCATCAAGCAGGTGTCGGGGAATGGTCATATCAGCAACAGCATATTCAACCTCCGCAAGAGTTTTGGTCTAACTATCCAACCTCAAATTTTCCTTGGAATTGGAGAAGATAAAATAAAAACAATTCTTTTTGCTTTTTAGGTACCAATTAAGACAATTTATAAATCTTTTTTCCCCTTTTGTAATTTTTTAAATGATGTAAATTAGGTTCATTTATTATGAACTGGAGTTGCTGATTTTAGTATTTTTCTTGTGACATTTATTTGTTACTGTACTTGAATTGCTTTTCTTGTACATAACTATTGATGATGCAGAACTTGAGATATTTTGTTGTTTGCTAGTTTGAACTGATTCTGCAGCACTTTGCTTGTGTGCATGATTTAATATTCACCAGTTGGTGCATCACACCGAGGCCACTTGTCAGTGTGTTGACAGGTAGCCGACGCATTATGTTAAACTCTAGTTAGTTGTAATTGAATCTTTTATAGAGTCCTATGTTAGGACATTTACATATTTTCTAGAGGGACTTCTATGGTTAAATGAACAAATCCACAAGGGCTGTGACGAGGATCCTCGTCACGACCCTTGTGGATTTGTTCATTTGATGTATCACGTTAGTGTGATTTCTGTGTGTAACTTCTATGGTTGCTTCTTGTTGCCAGCCACCTGGATAACTCCAGCCAATTCAAGTCACACCAGGCCTTTAAGTCATTATGAGCCTACTGGGGGGCAGAGGTCCTCTCAGAGGTCAAACTTGGCCAGCTCCCCCCTCAAAGGCAAAGTTTTGGTCAGCTCCCCTGTAGAGGCAGAGACTTAGTCAACTCCACTTCAGAGGCAGAGACTTAGTCAACTCCACTTCAGAGGCAGAGACTTGGCCAGCTCCTCAGAGGCAAAGATTTGGCCAGCTCCTCCTCAGAGGCAGAGACTTGGCCAGCTCCTCCTCAGAGGCAAAGACTTGGCCAGCTCCTCCTCAGAGGCAAAGACTTGGCCAGCTCCCCCTCCGAGGCAAAGACTTGGCCAGCTCCCCCTCCGAGGCAAAGACTTGGCCAGCTCCCCCTCCGAGGCAAAGACTTGGCCAGCTCCCCCTCCGAGGCAAAGACTTGGCCAGCTCCCCCTCCGAGGCAAAGACTTAGCCAGCTCCCCCTCAGAGGCAAAGACTTGGCCAGCTCCCCCTCAGAGGCAAAGACTTGGCCAGCTCCTCCTCAGAGGCAAAGACTTGGCCAGCTCCCCCTCAGAGGCAAAGACTTGGCCAGCTCCCCCTCAGAGGCAAAGACTTGGCCAGCTCCCCCCTCAGAGGCAAGGACTTGGCCAGCTCCCTCCTAGAAGTCAAAACCTGGGGACCCTTATTTCCACCAGTCTTTTCTCTACAATAAAGAAAAAAGGAAACAAAACATCACTCGTGCTGGTACTTCATAGATGGCAGTAACCTGCTTGATGGGTTTCTGGGAGTTCTACTCCCCCAAGCCCGGCCCGAGGCCAGGCTTGACTTGTGAGAGTTTGGTCCACCAGGCTGTTGCTTGGAGTGGACCCCGTACCTAAAGAGTCACTTGGATAAGTCTCACACCTTAAGGAAAATCCACATTCGCAGATACCTGTTGTCTTGTATCACGTCCACAGCTGAATATGTGAGAAGACCTCTCTCGGCTGTAAATTTGGGCCTTATTGCAAATACTTAGTTTAATTTTTCCCCACAATTGTTGTCTGAATCTACTTGAGAACTAGCCAAGGGATTTTTATTTCTCTCTCATAATACATAACCTTCCCGGTTTGGTGCCTTCTTTTGATAATTACTTACTTCTCCCTCATAAGATTTCTAGACCCACAGAGGCCAGAAGGAAACTCCTTATTCATAATAGAATATTTAATGAAGCAAAAAAGATAATCATGACAGATAATGGTATCCCCTTAGATTAACCCTATAACTCCTCAATACATCTTCCTCTAGCTTTCCCATGCTCACCACTTATTGCAAAACTAATGTGTAATGTGCTATATCATGTGTGAATATTACCTTTGTAGTTAGTATAAACCTTCACGTGGATCCTTGCACGGTCCTTACAACACCCTCACTCTCGCTCATGTCGTGCCTTGACCTTTACCCCTCCTGTGGTTCCTGTTCTTCACCACCTGCCTTTTTCTGTACAGTAGTCTCTCTTATTAAATGCTCTTTCAGTTCGTGTTACCAATATTTCTCCTCGTGTCGTTCCGCCTTTGCCCCCGTGTAGGGTCCCCCTTCCTAAATTTTGTAAAACCTTGACCCACGTGACAAGCGTTTATCCCTCCTGCAGTTCTGAAACGCCTTTTCCTTGAACACTTTTCTTCACACTCCTGCTCCATTTCTGTCTTCTCCGGTGGGTCCAAAGACTGATGGGTCCAAGTCTGCTGATGGTGTAGGCTACTGTTGTTTTTCCTGACCACACCTGTGTGTGTCGCCTGCCTCCAGAGACTAGCATCTTCACGGCAGAACTTTATGCTATTCTCTATACTCTTCGTCAACTGCTCTCTCACTGTCAATCCTCCTTTGTTGTTGTAGTTGACTCACAGTGCCCTCATGGCTCTGAAGTCCTTTAATCCTGTCCATCCATTGATAGTCGAGACTCAACATTGGCTGTTTTTATCTCCAGTAGATTTAAGATAGTGGAGTTTTGCTGGGTTCCCAGCCATGTTGGTATGTCCTTAAATGAACATGCGGACACTGCCGCTAGGGAAGCTATCCGCACTTGTCCCATCTCCCGTAAAGGTATTCCTTATTCCGACTTTTACCCGGTTATTCATTCCTCCATCCTTGCCCGTTGGCAGGGTTGTTGGTCATCTGTTACTGGTAACAAACTGTGTTCTTGAAAGTAGTGTGTCCCCAATGGCCTTCCTCCTACCACCGTAACCGGGAAACGGAAATGGTGGGAAACAGCTCTGGAAAGGTTACGTATTGGCCATACACGTTTAACTCGCTGGCACTTAATGGAGCGCCGCCCTGCTCCTTATTGTCCAAACTGCATTGTCCTCTTATAGTTGTGCATATCCTTGTTGAATGTCCCGACTTCCAGGACGTCTTTCTTCCTGACTGTCCCTTGCGGTCACTTGACCCTCGATAGAATTCTTGGTGAATCGGATACCTTTGATATCGTTCGCCTTATGCATTTTTGTTCTCCTATTGGTATCCTTAGTGATATTTAGCATCCTATGATTATCCCGCACATTTGATGGTGTTACATAACCTTCCCGGCTTGATGCCTTTTAATAATTACTTACTTCCCTCTACCTTTCTGGTGGCTTTTTTTTTTTTGGTCTGAGAGATCTAGCCTCCTCAGCTCCCTGTGGCTATATACAGGGGACCATTTTTTGGCCTCATGATGACTCGTAAGGGCCTGGTGTAACTCAAATTAAGTAGAGCTGTCCAGATTACTAGTGGCAGAACCACCGAGAATCCACCAAAATGAGATATTTCATCATATTCGGTGCATGTTTTTTGCAATCTGACAAGAATGTGCACAATTTCCTTAATTGTGTTTTATACAGCAGTTTCAATTTATCATGCCTTCAAACATTGTTTTGACTTGTAAATACATAGCAAAAAGGTTTGTACATTACCTGAAATAAAATGTTATATTTTCATACTTATACTTTATTATTAACCTGCTTCTAACTTATGGGGTAGGAGGCACCATTGGGAGATAAAAGGGAAGCAATGTTATGGAAAAGGTCATAAAAACTACCAGTTGGTCGTCATCTGCACTGTACTGTATACTATTACAGTAACCAAGAAGTACCTTCCTGCTTGATGGGGTTCTGGGAGTTCTTCTACTCCCCAAGCCCGGCCTGAGGCCAAGCTCGACTTGTGAGAGTTTGGTCCACCAGGCTGTTGCTTGGAGCGGCCCGCAGGGCTACATACCCACCACAGCCCGGCTGATCCAGAACTTCTCTTAGAAAACGGTCCAGTTTTCTCTTGAAGATGTCCACGGTTGTTCTGGCAATATTTCTTATAGTTCCTCTATACCTCTCCACGGTTGTTCCGGCAATATTACTTATAGTCCCTCTATACCCCTCTAGTCCCTCTATACCCTCTATTACCTCCACACTGATAATCAACTTAAAGAGCACTCCACTGCTTAGCATTACCAGGTATATTGTGCTCCTTGTTAATGGCCAAGTACATTATAAAGTCACTCCTTGTGAATCGTTGCCACCCAGCTTTATTCCCCTTCCATGTCCCATATGTTGTTCACACTGCCCGAAACGCATTGCGTAATAGTGGCTTTAGGCATTGTATGTACTAGCTCTATCTATATATTGATCCATTAATGTAACATCACTTGTATGTATGTACCTTACCTGAATAAACATATTTATTTATATTTATTTATTTAACCTCACTTTCTCTCACATTCAGGAAGTCTGCCCATACAGTATTTTCATCTTTCTGGTTTTCAAATTTTTTTAGAATACCAGTCTGTCATCCATTTGGTCTGCATACCCAAAATATCCCAATACATTTCTTAATCTTCCAGTTTACTGACTTTTGCACTCTAAATCTTTTTCTTACATATTAACTCTTTTAATCTCTTACACCAAACAAGAATGTAACACTCAAACACCAGTGTACATGCTTTCACAACCTACCGTGTGTGGCTTCCGGTGATCAACAGCCCCGCGGCCCAGTCTCCAACCAGGCTTCTCTGTTAATCGTCTGGTCACCCAGGTTACTAGCATCCTGGGTGACCAGACCAGAACATATGATTCACAGCCGGGTTGATCAGGTATCAAGTTTGCCCGAAACGCTATGCATACTAGTGACTTTAGGTATTGTATGTACTACCTCTATCTTTAAATCAGAATGTTTGTACTGTAATGATGCAACTATGTATGTACTTTTCCTAAATCAGTTATTATTATTATTATTATTATTATTATTATTATTATTATTATTAAGTAAACCTGATGAACTTTATTGTATATAAAGTAAATAGAAAATAAATGCTTGATCATATTTATTATAAGGAAACGTCAATAATTCCAATAAACTCTAGAATTTTGACGTACTGGTCGATAGTCAGATGGCGGGGGGGTATCTGATGTCTTGAGAGGTCAGCTAGTGGGGGAGGGGGGGGGGGTATCTGATGTCTTGAGAGGTCAGCTAGTGGGGGAGGGGGGGGTATCTGATGTCTTGAGAGGTCAGCTAGTGGGGGAGGGGGGGGGGACTTGATGTCTTGAGAGGTCAGCTAGTGGGGGAGGGGGAACTTGATGTCTTGAGAGGTCAGCTAGTGAGGAATATGACGTCTTGAGAGGTCGGCCAATATGAGATCAAGCAGCTAAAACATGTCTGGTAAAAACTGCTGTTAAGAGAAGAAATTTGTTTTTCATAAGAAGTAGCCATTGTATGTGTCGAGTCATGAAGCAGCAGACGTTTGTGTACATGCTGGAGAGATGAGTGTGTACATGCTGGAGATGAGTGTGTACATGCTGGAGATGAGTGTGTACATGCTGGAGATGAGTGTGTACATGCTGGAGAGATGAGTGTGTACATGCTGGAGAGATGAGTGTGTACATGCTGGAGAGATGAGTGTGTACATGCTGGAGAGATGAGTGTGTACATGCTGGAGATGAGTGTGTACATGCTGGAGATGAGTGTGTACATGCTGGAGATGAGTGTGTACATGCTGGAGATGAGTGTGTACATGCTGGAGAGATGAGTGTGTACATGCTGGAGAGATGAGTGTGTACATGCTGGAGAGATGAGTGTGTACATGCTGGAGAGATGAGTGTGTACATGCTGGAGATGAGTGTGTACATGCTGGAGAGATGAGTGTGTACATGCTGGAGATGAGTGTGTACATGCTGGAGATGAGTGTGTACATGCTGGAGATGAGTGTGTACATGCTGGAGGTTAGTCTCCTAGCTCAGTTATCATTGGTCAGCTCAGTGTTATATCATGTCTCCTAGCTCGGTGTTATCATAGACATTCATTAATATATATACAGTAAATAAAACGAACAATCGCCAGCTTTTAATAAATGTTATATAACCATTCAAGTTCAAGTCCGTTTAATTAAGACTAAAATACGTCTCAAAAGGATAGAGTAGCTCAGGCTATTTCCTAAGAAATGCTTTACTGTTGTAATAGGCGGTCTATTCGATAGACCTATATTCTCAGACCAATGTTGGCTTGCTTGCAGGTTCTCGTATTATAAGTTGCACATAATTTTGTTCCATGAAGCAAGTCTGACAACATTGTTCACAGACTTCTACTTTCTTAAAGCGTTTGGCGAATACCTGTTCACTTACGTTATATTATTTCGTGTTTAAAACACATGTACAGATTAAAAATATTCGTAACATCTATTTAGCGATATATAATGTTGATATGAATTGTTGAAGTCTTTTTAATGGTTAAAAAGACTTTCTCTGTGAGCACATGTTGGGCAAGCTATGTTAATTTGACGATGATAGACCATGTTATCCACTTCTAATAAGGTTAGGTACAAAGCCATAATTAACAAGCCACAGGTGTGGATACTATACAGGTGTGGGTCGAGTTCCAGGCCTCATATACCCAGTTCCATGCCTCATATACACAGTTCCATGTCTCATATACACAGTTCCATGCCTCATATACACAGTTCCATGCCTCATATACACAGTTCCATGCCTCATATACACAGTTCCATGCCTCATATACACAGTTCCATGCCTCATATACACAGTTCCATGTCTCATATACACAGTTCCATGTCTCATATACACAGTTCCATGTCTCATATACACAGTTCCATGCCTCATATACACAGTTCCATGTCTCATATACACAGTTCCATGTCTCATATACACAGTTCCATGCCTCATATACACAGTTCCATGTCTCATATACACACTTCCATGTCTCATATACACAGTTCCATGCCTCATATACACAGTTCCATGCCTCATATACACAGTTCCATGCCTCACACACACACACACACACACACACACACACACACACACACACACACACACACACACACACACACACACACACACACACACACAGTTCCATGCCTCAGAACTCTTCCTGTGTCATCCACCTCATCACGACGCCCCCTCGGAAATATCCCAAATATCACTGATGTTCGCGCACAGCTTCTCTTCGCTTTCCACAACCGTGGATGTGATGTAGTGTGTAAAATATTAATAAAAATGCCTCGCCGAATTTTGGATGGCAGAGCTTTAGAGAGCACGTTGTGTACCGACTGAACCAATAACCAACCTCTCACATATACCTATATATGTATATACACATGTTTATAAATATATATATATATATATATATATATATATATATATATATATATATATATATATATATATATATATATATATATATACACAATGTCAGACCACGGAGGAAAAATGAAACAGGAAATTTCCTTAAGTACTTTCGTATATTAAATACATCTTCAGAAGGTGTATTCTGAAGATGTATTTAATATACGAAAGTACTTAAGGAAATTTCCTGTTTCATTTTTCCTCCGTGGTCTGACATTGACACATTCTTAATCACGTGTTTATTTTCGTGATATACACACACACATATATATATATATATATATATATATATATATATATATATATATATATATATATATATATATATATATATATATATATATATTACTAAAAATCTGAAGCCTCATTCTGCAAGCTATCGCGCTGTGAAAGTCTGTGAAGCCTCATTCGTAAATTATTGTAGCTTTCGTGGCTACAGGGAAAACTTCCTTCCAAATTATGACCATAAATCCTGAGAATACTCGCGGAGATGGTTTAATTGCTTCTTACTTCTCTCTATCTTGGAAAGGACTTTCTCGGAATGATTACTCGACCGGAGAAATTTGCATAAAGTTGCTCGAGCCTAATTTCGATCTCTGGGTTCCGTATTATTTTAAGCTTTCACGGGGAATTGTGTAGGCTACTTGGTGATGCTTTGTTCTTCACGCTGGGGTACAGGGTTCCTTATCTTATCTTATCTTGAGGTTATCTTGAGATGATTTCGGGGCTTAAGTGTCCCCGCGGCCCGGTCCTCGACCAGGCCTCCACCCCCCAGGAAGCAGCCCGTGACAGCTGACTAACACCCAGGTACCTATTTACTGCTAGGTAACAGGGGCGTCAAGGTGAAAGAAACATTTTGCCCATTTGTCTCCGCCTCCACCGGGGATCGAACCCGGAACCTTAGGACTACGAATCCGAAGCGCTGTCCACCCAGCTGTCAGGCGCCCTCATGCTGGGGTACCGGGCATCCTCACAAACCCAATGTATCTTCCTGTATCTAAATAAATAAATAACTGTACAAGTCCTCTATAAATTTTGACTCATCAATATACACTACTACTCTAATCATAGACCACATACACCATGCACTCCAGGAAATCATGAAACACACAAGCAATCTCATCCATTCGTGCATTAAAAGAAAAAAAACGACCACGAAAATCCTCTGATAGTTTCCGTTGCAAAAATCGCCAGACTGCGCTCGACATTCGTGCGGAACGGAAACATTCAGTGCATTTAAACTATAAATAAGCAGTTTATATATATATATATATATATATATATATATATATATATATATATATATATATATATATATATATATATATATATATATATATATATATATATATATTTTTCATAAATTTAGTGAAATGGCGTTACAATTAAATGCACACAGTATTAAGTGTTTATTACTTCCAGGAAGGAATTGAGTGTAATAATACGTAAAATACCGCAGCTCCGTCGTATTATGTATTTCACATCATGATATGCTTTTTCCATTTCAGGGAGAAATGATTTTTGTTTTTTTCCCCGCTCGCGACTTGGGAATCACAGACAATCTTGGCTGTGTGATGATGATGTCTCCGTGCTGTGTTTAATAAACTGCGGTGTTTAATGTCGGTAACATGAAGCTTGTTGGCCTTATCGAGGTTCGTCTAGTCAGTTTTGGCACATAATGGGTTCAGGGACTGAACCCCACTATTCATTTAGCTAAGCAAGTTACAATCTTGATGAGTTAGTTATAACATTCAGTATAAGTCATTACATCAACAATGGGTTCGAGATCGACCACAAGTACAGGTTCTAAATTAAGCAAGTGACATATGTGGAGAGCCTAGTGTCACAATTGATATGTCTATCCTGCACACCGCCCCCCATCCAGTGGGCAGCGGTGGATAGGTTACAATCATATTACTTACTACCTACAGTTAGCAACCTGGGGATATTTGGATAATATTTCTGGTAGCAGATCATTTTGAATGAAATATTTACACATCGTTGGAACATTGGTTATAGAATTGTCTCTGAATTCACGATCTTTTCGCACTCCATCACATAGTGACGGAGGGTGTGCGAATAATTTTGTTGACACAGTTTACATTTGGTCAGGTCTACATCAGCAGATAATGAGAATTCCCAGAGATACTTGTAACCGAGTCTAAGCCGAGCAGTAGTAACATCTAGAAGTCTGCTGATTGTATTAGATGAACCATAGATGTGTGGCTCCTCTTGCATGTTAGTATGATGATAGCTGGAATTTCTGGTGTCGATTTCACTTTGCCTCAGACTTACAAGATCTTGTTGAAGTTCTCGGTGTACTGCTGCTCTCAGATTGCTCATTGCCAAGTCAGTGATTCATAATCTTTTTTGTTTGGAAGAACCAGCCGGCCGGCCGAGGGGACAGCACGCTGGACACGTGATCCTGTGGTCCCGGGTTCGATCCCGGGCGCCGGCGAGAAACGATGGGCAGAGTTTCTTTCACCCTATGCCCCTGTTACCTAGCAGTAAATAGGTACCTGGGAGTTAGTCAGCTGTCACGGGCTGCTTCCTGGGGGTGGAGGCCTGGTCGAGGACCGGGCCGCGGGGGATACTAAAGCCCCGAAATCAACTCAAGATAACCCCCATCTGGCTGACACAGTACCCACTGCAGGTAACCCCCCCCCCCCCCACTTAACTGACAAATTGGGTTTGACAGGAAACCCCATTAATAGCCTGTGACCCCAAGACCCGCGATCACGTAACATAGACAGCTCTAATACCGGGCTGTCTCTGAACCCATCCTCTTACACATTACGTCGCTTTTCGCTCGTATGCGCACTCAGACTAAGAAACAAGAACGTAATTTAAAATGGAATCGGTTTACGAAAGTGACATACTGTCCCGTTTTCTGTTTTGGGTCCTCTGGCTTAGTTTCTTAGGATATTTCCTCTTAGGAAATTTTCAATTATCGGTTTTCATGACGTTTTGAAACCTTAGGAGAACCTCCTGTCCTCCTAACCTACCAGAGGACTCTTAACTTGCTGTTTTAGACAAAAAATTATCCAATTTTCTGTTTTTCAATTTTAAATTTCGGCCTTTTTTGGCCGTAGCGTCGTTTGACCGAGCTCGCCAAGACTGGGAAGGCATGACTGTGTTAACCACTGGAGTGTGAGAACATCACGGCGGTTGTGCGTGCGTGTGTGCTTGCGTGTGCGTGCGTGCGTGGATGGTATTTCACACTGGTGGAGTCCTAGGCTGCGGCGGCCTCAGAATATAAAAAGAGCCTCCCGACCCATCGTACCACAGACATTAAAGACGTCTCCGCCAGTAACCTCACTTCAGGATTGGTCTCTACTACCACCAGCACGATGTTCAAGTGAGTTATCACAGATGAAGTCTGTGCAGTGCCTGTTGGCGATTATTTGTACTTGTAGTACGTGGGTGAAGCATTTACAGCGTTGTGGTTCGAACAAAATGTGTATATCTTGAAAGGTTATCTTGAGATGATTTCGGGGCTTAGTGTCCCCTCGGTCCGGTCCTCGACCAAGCCTCCACCCCTCCCTAGGAAGCAGCCCGTGACAGCTGTCTAACTCCCAGGTACCTATTTACTGTTAGGTAACAGGGGCATCAGGAAGAAAGAAACATTTTGCCCATTTGTTTCGATGGAGTAATTAATGAGCATTTTACCCTTGTTGATGAAGACGTCCTTTACTATTATCTTTACTATCTTTACTATTATCCCCGTTACTGATAGGCTGTCAGTGTTCGGGCCGGTGTTCCTGATGATGCTCCGACTGGCGTTCGGACTGGTTCGCGCAGGCAAATACGGCTACCAGACCCAGGACCAGCCACAGGTCAGTCCAAGGCAACCTCAGACCAGTGTTTATATGTACTTTACCTAAATAAACATTTGAATTTTTGAATTTTTTGAATTTTATGAAATGAAAAACGCACTTGCTCGTGACGTCATATATGTGAGATACTCGCCTTTGAGAATATTATATGGAGAATTTTAACGGCAATTAACGATGTTTTAACGGCAATTAACGATGTTTTAACGGCAATTAACGATGTTTCTGTTCTTGGATTGTGTCGTTGAACAGCCCTGTGCTACCCACGTTAAGTACATCATCCAGTCTGTTACGGAGATACAGACGTCAGTATTGGTGAGTATTGTGAGTGATAGATGTACTCAATGGTGAGTATTGTGAGTGATAGATGTACCCAATGGTGAGTATTGTGAGTGATAGATGTACCCAATGGTGAGTATTGTGAGTGATAGATGTACCCAATGGTGAGTATTGTGAGTGATAGATGTACCCAATGGTGAGTATTGTGAGTGATAGATGTACTCAATGGTGAGTATTGTGAGTGATAGATGTACCCAATGGTGAGTATTGTGAGTGATAGATGTACCCAATGGTGAGTATTGTGAGTGATAGATGTACCCAATGGTGAGTATTGTGAGTGATAGATGTACCCAATGGTGAGTATTGTGAGTGATAGATGTACCCAATGGTGAGTATTTGAGTGATAGATGTCTGATGGTGTATCTGTGGCTCCTGGTACCCAGCTTCCTGTGAACAGTTGCAATATTTTATCTTGAAGTATCCGATATGTGCGCGCGCGCAAACACGATCACCTGGGTGTGTGTTTTACGAAGAGTTAGGGCTGAATTTGAGCTCTTGGGCCCCCATCTTCTCATCTATTCTTTGTGTGGAGTAACCACACCCGAGGAATATTTCGGAAGAGGCTTCTGGTTTCGTACTCACGTTGTGAAATTTCATTGTGATTTCATTGTGAAATGAAATATGGGCTCGCTATGACAGCGACAAGCTGACCTTTGGTTACCTGGTGATGATTTCGGGGCTCATAGTCCCCGCGGCCCGGTCTCCCAACAAATTAAGCCTCCTAACGCCCAGTATTCCTAACAGGAGTTAGAGTAGGACACCGTGTGAAGCGAACTGTTTGAATATTAGGACTTTTAAGTCTAATTCTATGTTAGAAATTGATGATGTTGATGCAGCTACCACTCGTCAAATAATGTAATTAATGTTAATTGATGAACTTAGTACCGTCTTGATCCAGAGACAAGACTGAAACAAGAATTTAGATCTTGTTGATAATTACTTTAGATATCAAAACACTTTGAGAAACTACTTAATAAGCCCAAGTATCCAGTACGTTCAAGATCATATATATGCTCAAATTTCGGTGACAGGTTAACTAAAATTCAAAATAAACTTTAATATGACATTTATTATTATATGTGGCGTATAGTGGTCTCAAATGTGTGGGTACCATTGTGTAACTACATATATTGACGTAATGGACAATTACATGGTAGAATTTGGTGCGACTCACTTCGTGATCCGGGGAAAAATATAGCTAAAAATCTAATTTAAATATTCCTAAGCCTCGTTATAGCACATATATGTACTATATTACACCTCAAATATAGCCATGTATTAGTCCTAGGGTGGTTAGGTTAGGCTTTATTAGCGACATAAATACAAAATCTTTTCCCGATTTTTTCAAATTCAATATTACCCAAGCCTAATTGACTTTTGTTAGGTTGGTATGCGTGATAATATGGCTGTCCTTACGCGATTCTGAGACCAAATTAATATTATACTGAAATATGCATTGTTTACAAAAGTTTATCTTGTAGCACTTAATGAACAAACTTTGAAGAATATATTAAATTTACAGACGACGACACGGCTGGCTACAATAACAGCCACGTTGACGACAACAGCCACGAAGACAGAAGCAGCCACGAAGACAGCAACAGCCACGTTGACGGCAACAGCCACACAGACAGCCACGAAGACAGAAACAGCCACGCAGACGGCCACACAGACAACCACGAAGACAGAAACAGCCACACAGACGGCCACAAAGACAGAAACAGCCACACAGACAGCCACGAAGACAGAAACAGCCACCCAGACAGCCACGAAGACAGAAACAGCCACGAAGACAGTGACGGCTGAACCTATCACCAAGACGGTGAACCAGCTCTTCACCACCACCGTCGTCCAGAAGATGTTCGTCACCATGACCAAGGGGTGTGGAGGCGTCGGGACCGGTGGTAAGTAAATAAATAAATATAATAAAGGTTTATTCAGGTAAGGTACATACATACAAGAGATTTTTACAAGAATTGATAGGTTTATAGATAAAGCTGGTACATACAATGCCTAAAGCCACTATTACGCAAAGAGTTTCGGGCAGGAAAGTCTTGGTGATAACCCAGATAATATTCTGTACTCCGGTGGACCAGGCGAGTACTAATCCGTCCTCTAACAAATTAAAGTAGCTTTTCCCTCGTATGCGCTACGGCAAAAAAAAAAAGATCGTAATTTGAAAATGATAAATAATTGAAAAATAAATTTGGGTTTTATTCTTCAAAACGGCAAGTTAAGGGTCCTCTGGTTAGGTTAGAAAGGCGGAAAGTTCTCCTAAAGTTTCAAAACGTCGTGAAAACAGTTAATTGAAGGTTTCGTCTCCTAATCTAACAGCCTAAGCCGGAAGATCCAAAACAGAAAACTTCACTTTCGTGAGCCGATTCTGTTTTAAATTACGGCCTTTTTTTTTTAGCCTGAGTGCACATACGTGCGAAAAGCGACGTAATGTGTATGATGACCAGACCACACACTAGAAGGTGAAGGGACGACGACGTTTCGGTCCGTCCTGGACCATTCTCAAGTCGACTGGACCATTCACAATCGACTTGAGAATGGTCCAGGACGGACCGAAACGTCGTCGACCCTTCACCTTCTAATGTGTGGTCTGGTCAACATACTTTAGCCACGTTATTGTGACTCCTCGCCTGCGTAATGTGTATGAGGATGGGTTGTACCATAGCCCCTACTTCTTGTAACTTTTTGTTCAGTGCCTGAATCAACAACAGTGACCGGCTCACTAACGATGGTAACAGCAGTTAAGGTAATTATCTAGGCAAGCGCTAAGCCATTATCATGATTTTATCTTAATTTACCCGAGGGCAGCCATCTCCAGGGGGGACAGAAAGCCGACGGTTTGTCAAAGGTGCTCCCCCTCCCTACTGTTATTCCTTGGGTTTTTTCCAGTTGCATTTTGAACTGGAGCAGTGTGTTATCATTTCAGTCTTCGGCGGGTGAGTAGTTCCATTGTTTCATTACCTTATAAAAGGCTGACCATCTGTTTCATCACAACACGTAATATAATTGTTCTACGTGAGGAAGAGTGGTTTTAATCATCGTGTCTGTTACAAGAGTGGCTCTCTGTTCCAGGATATGGCACCCCAATCAACTTCGGCTGGTGAGGTCGTTGTCCCTGGCACTGTGGCACTCCGCAGTACATAGTCTGACGGCCCCGTGGCTCTGTGGCACAACACTATTTATGCAGAGTTGCACTAGGTAATCAACACTGAAACTATTGATGAGTTACAAGCAATAAACTATCTGAAGTAGAAAATGATTGATGTCATTGACCCTCCTCGTGTAACCCGAATATGAGCCGTAAGGAAGGAAGGAATGCTCAGGGGGAAAGCGCCAAGCCATTACGACTATATAGCACTTGGAAGGGGTCAGGATATGGGATGGGCAACCCGTTCTCGCAAATTTAATAAGTCAATATTGACTTATTAAATATGTGCATAGGTGACATACTAAACATAATAGTTTCCCTTGAAAAGCTTCATAGAAAACACCGACCTTACCTAACGTATGGTGCAACCCGTTTTCTATGAAGCTTTTCAAGGGAAACTATTATGTTTAGTATGTCACCTATGCACATATTTAATAAGTCAATATTGACTTATTAAATTTGCGAGAACGGGTTGTATGGCGAGGGTGTTTAATCTCACCATTTTGCTATAATTTCTAGAGTTTCTGAATGATAGGAAAAAATAAACACAGCTATTTCGTTTACATTAAATATTACAAAAGAAAATGTTAAGTGGATCATTTTCTCGAATCCTTTATAACATTGTTTACCAATAATAATTATCATTATTATTATTATTATTATAAATTAATATCCTTTAGCTATTATTTAAGCATCTGGAATAAAGTATGCAAATGGAGTGTATACGTCAATGGAAAGTGTATATATATATTTACAGGTGAAAGCTAGATTATACATTATGACAAGAATAATTAATACATGAGCTGTGTAGGACGAGACAGAATAGTATGAAATAACTCTATATTTTATACCTTAAACACTGAGGGGTGCTGGTGTGTGTGTGTGTGTGTGTGTGTGTGTGTGTGTGTGTGTGTGTGTGTGTTGAGTGCTACGTTCTCGTGCTTATCTCCCTTACAAGTTGGTGGTTCCCAAGGAACAAGTCTCAAGAACCATTCTTGACATCATCAACCCTAATGACCCATGACGTCATTACGTTGATGTCGCTGACAGCCGTGACGTCACCACGACGCTGACGTAACTACCCTTGGTAATCATCCTTCCTCTGGCCGCCGTAACCTGAATAATACCGGGGGGGGGGGGGAATTATAATTAACACTTAAGCATTTACTTGTATTATAAGTAGCGGTAGTAGCTCCCTCCCCCCTCCTCCCCCCCCCCCCCCCCCCCTCCCCCTAGGGGGCCATATGCAAGCAACTTTGATGTTGCAAAATGTTGAATCGTTGTTGATTAGTTACCTGTGATTGGGGGACACTGCGGCCGCAGCGTCACGCTGTGCGGGTAGGTAATGGTGGTAGTGGTGGTGGTGACGCCCTGATGCTGCGTCACTGCCTGCGTCACTGCCTGCGTCACCGTCTCCGTCAGCCACTCTGTACTCACCTGGACACACCCCTCCCCCCCGTTACTCGTGATTTAGTACTCATTACGCGTCACATTGATCATTCGTCACTTGTAATCATGACTCGGAATTCATTATTATTCTTTAACATTGTGGACTCTTAGCTGGACTTGGCACCACTGTCTTACCTTGGCACTGTGTTAACTCGCCGGGTGGCACTCACCGTAGACTCGTAGTGAACCAGAGTGCGGAAACTGGTCTGTGTCACGTGCTGGGAGACGGTCTGTGTAACGATGACGGTGCTAGGCTGTGGGGGGCAGTACTGTGGGGGGGGGGGGAGGGGAGAGGAAGAAGGGGGATTTGGGGGGGCAGGAAGGGGTTTGGGGATAGGGGGGGGGGTTGAGAAATGATAATGGTAGCATTAATAAATGGTGGTTGCTGAATATTGCTGAGTATTGGACATGATTACGACATATATAATACAGTAATCAGAACGAAGTAGATAGTACACATACGGACACAGGGTCACAAGAGCGTTAAAAGTGAGGTGCTTTTTGTGAATCCAAAAAGTATCGTCAATGTTACAATGCTTTTTTAATTTCACTAAAATGCAATAATTAAGACGATGAAGTCGATACCGTTAACATTACTGTGCGATAAGAGGCTAGTTTGTGTTCTCCAGCTGTCATCTGATCACCCAGGTAGACACAAACAGTTCGAGTGATCAACCGAGACGCATACAAGTGCCTCATCACGCATATACATGTACACTGTGTACATAAGGCGGGACCAAAGAGCCAAAACCCAACCCCCGCAAGGTGAATACACAACACAACATGTTTTTTTCGGGTAAATACCCCAGAATACACACACACTTTTCCCCTGTGTTCCAAACACCGTAGTACAGACGTACCTGGAGTGCTGTGGGTGGAGGTCCGCAGCTTCCCACTGGAGCCTGCAGCAGCAGGGACAGCAGCAGAGGCAGCAGGGACAACCTTCTCCCGCATTCACTGTCAAAATAAATTGAACATTATATACATTATACTTGTGACGCAGGACCTCAACAACGTGTGTCTCTCTACTTACACTACTTCTTATCTCGGGGTGTATGCTTCGTGGAATACACATTGTGTATCTATTAACGCGTACACATGGTGTACACATCATGGTGTACATATGGTATATGCAACATGGTGCGCACTAAATGGTGTATGCAACATAGGGTGCTGATCATCCCAAAATTAAGAAAAAATTCTAATGATAACATTTACCCTTAAACCCTCAATAAACCTTGATATAATTTTGTATCCTTGGACTTAGTGGCTTGTGTGTTAATGTCTGGTGATCATCATTGCTAAATTATATGTTTAGTGTTCCTATAGTGTTATTGGTGATGTTGTAGAGGAGAGACAGAAAGAGAAGGGGAGAGACAGAAAGAGAGAGGGAGAGAGACAGAGAAAGAGAGACAGAAAGAGAGAGGGGAGAGTAAGGGAAAGAGAGAGACAGAAAGAGAGAGGGGAGAGTAAGGGAAAGAGAGAAAGTGGGCAGACAGTCACAGACCTGAGCACTGCCGGGTACCCCCTCTCTAGTATGTATATGGCTCTTGTAGTGCAGTTGGCTCCGTTCTCGACTCTCAATCGGGGTTCGATTCCCAGGCGGAGCAAAAATACACGGTTCCTTTCAACTAATGGCTCTGTTCACCTTGTATTAAATATGTACCCGGGAGTTAGGCAACTGTTGTGGGGTTGTGTCCTGGGGGGGGGGGGGCCGCGATACAAGCATTATATACAATGTACTCATATACAATGATAAATTCTTTGATATCTTTGAATATTCTTTGAATATCTTGTGGCCCAGACTAGTCCTTCAACTGGCTCTCGTTTCAACTACATCTAAAAATTCAACCCATAACCCAAACCATCGAGAAGAAAACCACCAGCTCAAAGGTCAACTCGAAAATCCAAGGTCACGGGACAAGCCACATTTGAACATGAGCCAATCGGACGTTACAGTTCAAATAACGGCGTTGGAGCGGTTAAACTCCCGCGCCAGCACGAGGACATCTGTGGTCGCTTGAGCTAAGAGTTGTTTCCCAGCCGTTCCTCTCCACCAGCGAGGACAGGAGCGAGACAGGTGAAGATGGTGGGACCACAGCTCACCGTATCATGGCGACGAATGTTCGAAACTGTCACTAGTTCACCAAACAAAATCCCACAAATAACACGCTGGCCTGAAGACAGCACAGTTGGCGCGGTAAATGTGGCAGTGTGCGACATTCTTCCGTCTTATATATCAACATTCCCTTCCCAGAGTCCCTCTCCCCTTAACCACTCACTCTTTGGAGTGTTTGCATTTTCTCTGAGGGTGATCATGGCGCAGGTGTGAGCCCAACACATCCTCAAATTATGCTCGTCCAAGTCTTGGTCGCCTCCAAGCCGTAACTCTCCCCCAAAGACACATTCCTCAAATTTTCCCTGTTAATTTGGTGGTGGCTTGAAGCCTATCAACCGCTGGAGGGTTATTTAGACCACCGCAATTACTACAGAGAAAGCACAATTAAAAATTACGATGTTTTGATCTAGGTTTAGAGGAAGTGCGGGGGAAGGGGGTCTGGGAATGGTATATAGACCTGAGAAGCCTAGCACATGGATCATATCTCCGTGACGCTGCGTCCACACCGGCATGATACGGTCAGTACAACCACATGCATATAAAGGATTTTATTCAGAGCATGAGATCCTGAACTAGACGTCCACAACGACACTGTGTGAGATCATTAACTAGTTAAGAACACTGTATGAGATCCTTAACTAGTGGACCTCTTATTAAGAACACTTGACTGTATGACATCCTTAACTAATTCACTAAAGGAGGCAGACCCATGTCTATCCCTCCTCACCTAACCTATACATACGGACGTGGGCAACAGTGTTCACTGCGGGCTCACCATAGCCCGTGCTTCTTATAACTTTTTGTTCTGAGTAGCTGAATCTAAAATAACAGTACTTGAATCGCAATCACTGGTTTCGGAAATGCCGCCAATATTGAATGCTTTTGAACATTATATTAAAATGGTGTTGGTTATATTTAAGCTAATAAGCAGCAAACCTAACCAAATTAAATTTGACAAAACCAATCTAGCCATTTCCAGAACCATACAACCCCCTCCCATCCCCGAGCAAATGTGGAAAAATGACATTGATTAACAATAATTCAATGTTGAAGACATGTAGGGATGTTGTCAACGGTTATCTTGAGATCTTGAGGTTATCTTGAGATGATTTCGGGGACGGTGGTGGAGCAGACGGGGCCGGGCGACCCAACCTGACGATCTTCTCTCATGGAATGTTTGGCTAGAGGAGGAGGAGGTCTTCCTGGTGGGGTGATTGGCTCTCGTTCTGGGGGCACGATAGCTTCCTGGTACAACGACTCTTGCTTCCCTCAGAGGAACCAATCAGTGGGCCCATTCAAACCCAAACTATTACTCATAGTTCTGTTTTTCATTATAATGGTCATAAGTATTGAACCATAATAAGGTTTTGAAATATAGTTGGCAGCGGAGGCAGTATATATATATGGCTGACAACGTTTCTTCCAGCGGGCACAGCTTCGCTCCTGTGCCAGGTGAGTCCACTAGGGGCTCACCATAGCCCGTGCTACTTGGAACTTTTTGTTCCGTTTAGCTGAATCCAAAACAACAACTCTTCCAGAAGCGTGTTGGTGGTGGCGGCGGCCCTGGCGATGGCTGCCGTAGTGACCGCTCACAGCAACTACGACACAGTCCAGGTAAGCTCCCACTAGGCTTAACATGACTGAGCTTCACCTCTTTTGGGATTAATGTGCATTTTACCCTAAATGGAAAGGCCTTTCTTTTGATAATTACTCAGCACGTCCATAGCCGCCATGTTGAATAACCCTCTTAAGATACTCACGCATGCGCAATGAAACAGACATTGGGGGGGGGGGGAAGGGTAGAAATAGCCTAAGCTACTCTATCACTTTAGGATGTATTTTCTTGTCTCAATAAACATACTTGAACCTGAGACGGATATTTATAAAAAATAGTCACACTGAGTATACCAAATTGTGACCGTTCTTGACACATGATGAGACGCTGAAGTCTCACCCATAGGATCATCAGTGATACAGATGAGAATATTACAAACAATACCATGCAGATGACACTAAGATCTATGGTAAACTAGGAAGCGAACATTATATTGAGGCCTTACAATCTTCAAGAATTCTACAAATGGCCGGAAGACTGGCAAATACTTTTTTTAATATTGAAAAATGCAAGAAGGAAGAACATAGCTCCTCCATTTGGAGAAAGTATATCACCTGGACGACAAAAAATCATTCCAGAAGAACAATTTTGAATAAAAACTTGCTTTCTGTCCTCGTCGAGACCACTAGTGAGATGGTGGCCCTCAGGTAAATTCAGGTAAACTCTGGACACCTACGAGTCTCACCATGATGGTTTGATAATTTGTCAATAGACTGGTAATGCATATGTAAATAAACTATGCACCGAGGACGCCGACGGGTATATACATATGGCTTCTAATTATGACATATGACTTCCTAACAGATTGATGGTTCTTGTATACCAAGGCTACAAGAAGTGACCACCAGCACGGAGACTTTCACCACCTACCTCACTGACACCTACTACCACGTCAACACCTTCTCCAAGACCAGAGTACGTCACCACCAGTAGCCTAGTGTCACCAGTAGCCTAGTGTCACTAGTAGCCTAGTGCCACCAGTAGCCTAGTGCCACCAGTAGCCTAGTGCCACTAGTAGCCTAGTGCCACTAGTAGCCTAGTGCCACCAGTAGCCTAGTGCCACCAGTAGCCTAGTGCCACTAGTAGCCTAGTGCCACTAGTAGCCTAGTGCCACTAGTAGCCTAGTGCCACCAGTAGCCTAGTGCCACTAGTAGCCTAGTGCCACCAGTAGCCTAGTGCCACCAGTAGCCTAGTGCCACTAGTAGCCTAGTGCCACTAGTAGCCTAGTGCCACTAGTAGCCTAGTGTCACTAGTAGCCTAGTGTCACTAGTAGCCTAGTGTCACTAGTAGCCTAGTGCCACCAGTAGCCTAGTGTCACTAGTAGCCTAGTGCCACCAGTAGCCTAGTGCCACCAGTAGCTTAGTGCCACCAGTAGCCTAGTAACGCTGACGTTAGTCTTGATGACTGGTTCAACGTCGATTCTTTGTTATTCTAACGTAGATAATGTTGATGTTACGTTGATATAACATTTCCTGAGCTGGGAATGTCTTATATTTGATACATAAGCCTCTGAGTGCCATTCACAGTGCCAGTCGCTGCTGCTGACAACGACGCTGCAGCTGACGCAATACTTGACGCAGGCACTGACGCAGACGCAGACCAGCACCCGCTTCCAGTTAATAGGCGTGACGCAGCCCTGTCCCCAGATACCGTCAGGTGGTAGGCCTATTCTCCCCTATTACTGATACATCCGCTACTATCAATGATTATAATGGTATCGTGTTGAATACTGATGAAGTCCACATTATGCAATGGGTGTCGCAAGGTCTTTTGCAACTATGGGTCTCATTGACAGGTTCCGGAATGGCAGACATGGTAGGCTACTAGGACTAGTCTGGCTACGAGGACTAGCCAGGCTACGAGGACTAGCCAGGCTGCGAGGACTAGCCAGGCTACGAGGACTAGCCAGGTTACGTGGGACTAGCCAGGCTACGAGGACTAGCCAGGTTACGTGGGACTAGCCAGGCTACGAGGACTAGCCAGGCTACGAGGACTAGCCAGTCGTATATGGCGCTGTATTTCCAACAATTTTGCTAATTTCTCCTTATTTTAGTTTTACTCTGATTAAATTTTATACAGTACCTGAGTTTGTGTTTTGTTCATCGATTCCCACAATTTCCATGGTAAGCTAACCTGTTGTTGAACATCTGTAGCCTCACTACCCTGTTGTTGAACACCTGTAGCCTCACTACCCTGTTGTTGAACACCTGTAGCCTCACTACCCTGTTGTTGAACACCTGTAGCCTCACTACCCTGTTGTTGAACATCTGTAGCCTCACTACCCTGTTGTTGAACACCTGTAGCCTCACTACCCTGTTGTTGAACATCTGTAGCCTCACTAACTCCACACTAACCTGTTGTTGAACACCTGTAGCCTCACTACCCTGTTGTTGAACACCTGTAGCCTCACTACCCTGTTGTTGAACACCTGTAGCCTCACTACCCTGTTGTTGAACACCTGTAGCCTCACTACCCTGTTGTTGAACACCTGTAGCCTCACTAACCTGTTGTTGAACACCTGTAGCCTCACTAACTTGATGTTGAACATCTGTAGCCTCACTAACTCCACACTAACCTGTTGTTGAACACCTGTAGCCTCACTAACTCCTCCCTAACCTGTTGTTGAACACCTGTAGCCTCACTAACCTGTTGTTGAACACCTGTAGCCTCACTAACTTGATGTTGAACATCTGTAGCCTCACTAACTCCACACTAACCTGTTGTTGAACACCTGTAGCCTCACTAACTCTACACTAACCTGTTGTTGAACACCTGTAGCCTCACTACCTTGTTGTTGAACACCTGTAGCCTCACTAACTCCACACGAACCTGTTGTTGAACACCTGTAGCTTCACTACCCTGTTGTTGAACACCTGTAGCCTCACTAACCTGTCGTTGAACACCTGTAGCCTCACTAACTCCACACTAACCTGTTGTTGAACACCTATAACCTCACTAACTCCCCTTAACATAGGCCTAACAGTCTTTCTGTTCCCGACAATTAATGGAAAAAAAACTCCACCTGTGTTAGCCTAGCCGGTCACACCGACCTCTCAACTGTGATACAAAACTCAAGACATCTTATCAGATTAGATCAAGTGTCCCTGACAGTCAGATTTCAAGACCTTCATATCTGACGTTCTTCCAAGAGGTTTGTAAAGGAGGAAATGTATATGTTTATCTCTCAGAATGTTCGGTAATATGTATATTGTTTGTGATGTGTGTCTATGTATGTATTAACACGTTGTACTGAACGGGGTGAGAATAGCTTGAGCTACCTCATCCCTTTGTGTGGATTTTACCTCAATAAACTTATTTCAATTTCAATTTCAATTTCCAAGAGGTTGCTTCTTGCTATATTAACGATCGTCATGCCTATTTGTCTTCTTGTTAACCAATAATTGTAATTCATTGCGTCGGGGGGACAGGCAGCCAGTGTACATATATATAAATATATACATGTTTGGCTGGTTGAACCACTGACCCTTTCCCAGGATGTAACCCAATAGTAAGCTGAATAACTCAGAAGTACTTATTTATTACTGCTAGGTGAACAGAGGTATTAGGTGGATAAAACGCGCCCAAGCCATTTCTGTTCAGCCCTGCGGGGATTCGAACCCGAAAATCTTGAGTGTGAGTCGCGAACGATCCCTACTGTATTATTCATGTTATTGGTATGTTGCTACTGACACCATGGTTGACAAGGGAGACCAACAGGTGCGTAATAGGAACGCAACAGGGACACACTCCTGTTAACAGAGTTCCTACCATGATGGCTTGTTACCCTTCAACAGGGACACCCTCCCGTTAACAGACGTCCTACCATGATGGCTTGTTACCCTTCAACAGGGACACCCTCCCGTTAACAGACGTCCTACCATGATGGCTTGTTACCCTTCAACAGGGACACCCTCCTGTTAACAGACGTCCTACCATGATGGCTTGTTACCATTCAACAGGGACACCCTCCCGTTAACAGATTTCCTACCATGATGAGATTGCTACCATTCAACAGAGACACCCTCCCGTTAACAGACTTCCTACCATGATGAGATTGCTACCATTCAACAGGGACACCATCCCGTTAACAGACTTCCTACCATGATGGCTTTGTTACCATTCAACAGAGACACCCTCCCGTTAACAGACTTCCTACCATGATGAGACTGTTGCCATTCAACAGAGACACCTTCCCGTTAAACCTTTAATGCAACCGTAACTGAAAACTCAAGAATAATCATTGTACTTGACTTCTCATACGACTAGAAAGCTCCACTAACTAGCAAGATAACTGGGTAAGCGACCAATGAGCTTCTGCATTATATATATATATATATATATATATATATATATGTCGTACCTAGTAGCCAGAACTCACTTCTCAGCCTACTATGCAAGGCCCGATTTGCCTAATAAGCCAAGTTTTCCTGAATTAATATATTTTCTCTAATTTTTTTCTTGTGAAATGATAAAGCTACCCATTTCATTATGTATGAGGTCAATTGTTTTTTATTGGAGATAAAATTAACGTAGATATATGACCGAACCTAACCAACCCTACCTAACCTAACCTAACCTATCTTTATAGGTTAGGTTAGGTTAGGTAGCCAAAAAAGTTAGGTTAGGTTAGGTTAGGTAGGTTAGGTAGTCGAAAAACAATTAAATCATGAAAACTTGGCTTATTAGGCAAATCGGGCCTTGCATAGTAGGCTGAGAAGTGCATTCTGGCTACTAGGTACGATATATATATATATATATATATATATATATATATATATATATATATATATATATATTTAATAATAAAAGCAGATTTACGATTTCATCAATTGCCAAGGTTATAGCTCTCAATCGATAGGGCAAATATGCGTCGCTTTCGTTAATTGAATGTATATTATATTATCATTTGTTATATTATTAATTAATTTGAAATATTATATTGTTAATTTTAATCCCTATATATATAAATATTCTGGATATTGTGTGACTATGATTTTCAGCGGATAATGGGTATTTTTGGTAGTATTAATATCAATTTTTTTGATTAATGCGACGAACAGAGATAACAAGATAGGCCGCTTTCATTTGAATAACACAAAATTTAAATTAAAATAATTTCCGTATGGTTAATTGTAATATTTAATGTTTTTAAGGACATAATGCATATTATTTGCTTGTAAAAGTGTGAGATTGTAAAGAGATTGAAGGAAGCGGGTGTGTGTGGAGGAGGTTAGCCAGTGGGACCACAACAGCCATGGCGTCGTCTGCTCCTCAAAGGCTCTCTGTCATCAACAGACACCTGAGTGGCCGCAGGAGGCGGGAGGAGGCCGCAGGCGAGGCCGCACCCTCCACAGGGCGTGAGGGTGGGGCTGGAGAGGGGCGGCAAGGGGTGGTGTGGGCGGCGGCAGGGGCGGCGGCGGGGCGGGGCCAAGACCAGACCCCAGGCAAGCCTGTGGAGCCTCGGAACACAGTCCCCAGGAGGAGGTGAGTCCTGTGTCAGGTGGTCAGGCAGCTTTGTTTAGGCAGCTGTATGGTCGGACTGGTCGGGCATCAGTCTGGTGGTCGAGCAGCTCTACGTTTGGACTGGTCGGGCATCAGTCCGGTGGTCGAGCAGTTCTACGTTCGGACTGGTCGACCACCAGTCCGGTGATCTAGCAGCTCTACGTTTGGACTGGTCGACCATCAGTCCGGTGGTCGAGCAGCTCTATGTTCAGACTGGTCGGGCATCAGTCCGGTGGTCGAGCAGTTCTACGTTCGGACTGGTCGACCACCAGTCCGGTGGTCGAGCAGCTCTACGTTCGGACTGGTCGACCACCAGTCCAGTGGTCGAGCAGCTCTACGTTCGGACTGGTCGGCCACCAGTCCGGTGGTCGAGCAGCTACGTTACGGGCATTCAGTGGCATCACGTTCGGACGGTGGTCGAACAGCTCTACAGGGTTCACCTAATTTCCCAAAGCTACTCATAGCTTCCTAACATTACGTAAGTAATGAAGACATATATATTTACTTGCTATAATGTTGGTGATGAACGTAGAACTTGAAAAAATATATATTTTTACTCAGAAATAATATAATTTTATAACGAAATTAGACGAAACAAAGTGCAGGTCGTGCTACACAGAATTTGAATTGAACTATCAAGGGGAAAGTGCCAAGCCATTATGACTATATAGCACTGGGAAAGGATCAGGATAAGGATTTGGGATGGAACGTGGGACGGGGGGATGGGATGGTGCCCAACCACTTGGACGGTCGGGGATTGAACACCGACCTACATGACGCGAGACCGTCGCTCTGCCGTCCAGCCCAAGTGGCTGAGTCGATGATCCAAGCGACAATGTCGTGACTTTGGGTAATTAGATGAGCTCAATTTCACTATGAAATTATATTATTTCAGAGTAAAAATATATTTTTTCATGTTCTACATTCGGCACCAACATTATAGTGAGTAAATATATCACATTTCTTCACTACTTACATAATACTAGAAAGCTTTGGGTAGCTTTAAGTAGACTTGGATAGCTTTGGATAATTAGATGAACCGGGTCTACATTCAGACTGGCCTGTCAGGTCGAATAGCCAAGTGCTTTGACTGACATTGTCAGGAAGGTGGCATTTGTCCCTGAAGACATACTGTTTCCCCGGTCTTCCATTTTAAGTATAATTAAATACTGCCAACACGATAACACGACGCCATCAATGGAAGACATCGGTCACCTTGGACTCGTTGGATATCTAGCATACACAAAGTGTTGCACCATGTATGTTTGGTGACCTTGGTGGCATATTTTGTGAAAATCGTAAATTGATAAAATAACGTTTCTTCCCACAGGCAAGAATTGCTAAAATGGAATGGGTGGGGATACAAGGACTCTAAGTTCATGGTGCACAAGGAGAAGGACTACTATGTGGCGTTTACGGGAGACAGGTGAGCGTCCAGTGTAACTCGAATAATTTAGTCATTAACAACCATGATTAGTTATTTCCACATATTATAATAATAATAAGGCTTCCTAGTGTACTTAAATTCAAAATAATAATAATGTTTATTGCCCTAAATGTGGTGCTTCAAATACAGTTTATGATTACAGTATTGCCCTGATTGCAATATTTTGTTGTCAAATATTTAGTATAAATAATTATAGCATGAGAATATATTTGTTACAGTGCTAAAAACATTAAAATTTGGCAAGCATGAAGTCATTGTTTTTATATTTTATTTTTAACCTTTTTAGCAAATGATAATAAAGTGTTTAGGCTCATATGTCAGTATGATTTGGTACGCAAACCACCATTGGAAAAATGTTAGTGTATTAAGATGTATTAGTACTGTATTAAGATTTGTTTATCTGGCACTTTAGGGTAGTACAACATCTTGGGAGCATGTGTAGATTTACCAGTTTTAGATGTTCCTTATGAAAAAGGTGAATGGCGATCATTAACTTTGAATGCTGGGGAACTGGCTCTCTTCAAAGGCCTAGCCTAGATTACATTACAGTACAGTATTTATGTTTGTCTCAAAGATTAGCAAAACTACCAACAATATGATAAAGAGGGCTATGGTTTTGTATTACTTTTAAAGGTACAAAATTGGCAACCTGGTTTTACCTCACTTTGCCGACTGGGTGAAAGCGACGTTAGGGGTCAACTTTGATGACTACACCCCACCACAACCTCTACCTCGACCCCAAGACTTTCCCCAACCTACTATACAGCAAGGTATATAATTACATACAGTAAGATCCTACTTGAATAGATGTGTGTGGATGCAATGACAGAAATTTGCTTGGGTTACATTGAGTGGGGTCTTGCATGACGAACGGTCGTGTGTGACAAGAGGCATTGCGGGACAAGGGACCCATACGTGACGAGGGGGCCATGCAGGACGAGGGGCCCATGCGTGACAAAAGGCCCGTGTTCCATTTCTTTATAAGAGAGAGTGTCTGCCCAAGGTTGAAGGCCAGATGCTTGGGGCTGGCCTCGCCCGACTTTCACACATGAAGCAGGTTGAGTATGGGACGGTCATAGACCAGTTTAGGTTGGCTCCAGTGTCACACTATCTAGAAATATCAGCATCTGACCCCCCCCCCCTCCCCCCACTTCCTGTGGAATTTTCCAAATCTGAAATATTGGTTGTGTTATCTGGACTTTTTTTTTTTTTTTAGCAATTTCAGTTATTTGTTGTATAATTTTTCTGAGAACGGGGGGTGGGGGAAGAGGGGGGGATAAAGGTGGTGAGAGGGGTTGAGACTCGGGCATAGCTGGGTACCCCCTCCACTATGACAATAGTGTATGTGAGCAGTGTACACCTAGTATGTGTGTGTGGGTGTGGATGTGTGTGGGTGTGGGTGTGGGTGTGGATGTGTGTGGGTGTGTGTGGTGGAGTGCTGCTGTGGAGGATTTGCTGGAGTAGTGTTTTAATTATCAGTGATAATATATTGTAAGATATGGCGAGTGAACGAGTGTCCATTGTAATCTCTTCAGTTTCTTTTTTCTGTGTTTTTTTCCTGTTTGGTTCCAGATTGATATTTTCTATCCAGAGGAAGATGGGGGCAATGATAATGAATTAGTAAATTTGTTATTAGTATTTAAATACATGTTTGCAGAGTTCCTGGATGAAATACAGACAGAGGGGATCACCCATAGCATAGATGGAGAAGATCGTCTGTTCCGCGCTCATGGTCATACACTGGCAGAGATATTTACTCTTAGAGAAGGAATGTTTCCAAGAATTCCAGATCTAGTCGTATGGCCAAGTAAGTCTTAACACCATAGTTACTTCAGAGTTTCATTGAACATATTGTATATTCAATTTGATCAATGTATCCATTAACTGTATAGCACTCTTTACTATCAAATAGATAATTTTGTCTCGGACCTTGTTTACATTGTGCGGTGTTTTGAAAGTAGAGGTGGAACAACTTTGAGAAAAAATTAGTGTTTATAAGAGAGAGAGTGTGGAGCTGAGAAAGAATCTGCGAGTGTGTACAAATTACCCAAAGGCGAGAAACGAGAAAATCCAGGTCATGTACAGAAGAGGATCGAAACGATAATTTCTTTTGCTGTGCCTTCGTGGAGAGCACAGTGATGGGGTTATATGGGGCAACAAAGATAGGACAATGAAGAGCATTGGCAAGCAAGGTAAAAGCATACCGATAGTTGGGCGCTAACAGGTTACATATAAGACATTCTGTAACCAGATTAGACAGAAGAGAATGCTGGTGTGCTTTCCAGGTCCAGGTATTATTGATAACATTAATATCACAGTGGCTGGAAATGGGAAGACATCCATAGTGTTTCTCAATGATGGTGGCTATTATATTGGGGAATATTGCGAGGAATTAATGACCAAATTTAGGACATCAATGAAGTTAATTAGGGCCGAGGGAAGTATACCGATCATATTTGACAATTAACTGGGTGATGAATGATTTAGCACAAGTGGCATCAATTGTTGTATTGGCTGGACAAATACTATGCAAATCTAATGTATTCTTAAATATACTTTTGACAATTCTATGGCAAATTTGAAAACGTGAAAGGTTTTAAGAAGTATTTTTCAGATAGTGGTAACAAAGATTGATGCAGGCATGCAAATCATAATGCTATTGAGGTGTATATATACTGTACTTCACAAGTGGCAGGAGTATTCTAAACAAAATGGACGAGTTAAGTTTACTAGTGTGTTTGGAAATACTGTAATAGATAATAATAATAATATATTTACGAACAGTACTGTCATGTTCACAGAAAATGGTACCATCCGTTTTCTATGTGCGGCGGCTGGGACGCCAGAGAGAGAGGGTGGAGGTAAACAAGAGCGTACAGGACGCCAGCCAAGCTTGGTAGCTACTAGCCATGTAATCATATTAAGTATTAAAGTCAGTAACCAAGTCATGACTTTACATCAACCCTACAACCAAGACTTCCTCAGTAACACACAAACACCACAAGTACATACATAGCTGCAGCGTTACAGTACAAACATTCTGTTAGATTTAAAGATAGAGGTAGTACATACAATACCTAAAGCCACTAGTACGCATAGCGTTTCAGGCAAATAGATGTTGTTGCCAATAGATGTTGTTGCCATCACAGGAGCGTAAGTAACTGTTGAAACCAGGATTTTCAGCAGAGTATCAAATAAAGGGATACATATACAGTACTATAAACTGTCTTACAGTGATAGGCACGTTAGACAAGGTGGGGGGTAATAATAAGACTTATCGGAGAAAATTAAAATTGTAAAAAACATGTATGGAGAAAAGCTGAAGCTAATGTAGTTCTACCAAAGTGTAATTAGCCAAGTGTGGTTACAAGATAAGAGCTATCCCTAGAAACACAAACTGAAACTGTCTCTATTTTCCACTTGTTACAACTTGTAATACAGTTGTTACAGCTTGGCTTAACACTTTCGCTCGGGGATGACGCAGCATTGCGTCATCCTTTTACTGGCGGTAATGCCGGGGATGACGCAGCATTGCGTCATCCACTTTAAAAATTCGCCAAAAATCAGGTTTCTATCCGATTTTTTGGGACTGGTTTTAAAATGTGCGCCGATGTCTTCCCATTTTCTTTGTTGAGCCTCGTCGCCCTCAGGCTGCTTGGCACACGCCGTGGGCCCATTGTCTTTGCTCCACTGTTGTGACCAATGTCGCTTCCCCTCGCATCTCAAACGTGTGAACATTTCGGCTATTTTCCGTGGCTATATTTCTTACTGCGGCTTTAGAAACTATCTACGCTTACTCCACGATGGATAGTAATCATGAACAAGGCCCTTCCAGGAAGAAAATTGCGAAAGAAAGGCTTGAAAAGGGTAGGAATTGGGAGTGTAGCAGGAAGGCCTCTGAGCACTCACTCACGGCTAACACGTGGCCCGTCTTCAACTCGTCGGCGGTTGGAGCGTGACCAGGTTTTTTTTTTTATAGGCTAATGTTCCTCTAGAGAATTTTATTACGAACCCATTGAGACCAAAATGAAAGACCTAGGACAAAAATTGAGGTGACCAGAGTGAAAATAGTGAAAACATTTTATCCCGTTTGCGCGCTCCCGGGTAACTCGTTCGCACTTTCTCTGTTTGCTGCGGGTAATTAGCCGGGCTTTTGGAGTTTATATGCATTTAGTGCTGTAGAGAATTTTATTGCGAACACAATGATACCAAATTTAATCTCGTAGAAGGAGAATTGAGGTGACAAAGTTGAAGAGAGTATACACTTTTCGGAATTAACGCGCGCTTCCGTGACACTCTGGGGCCCATATCGCCCTGTCGAGGGGTGGCGCGCGGGGTGAGCGAAAGTGTTAACGTGTTTATGACATATTAGAACGTTGTTACAACTTGCTATATTGGTTGTTATAACTGGTTAGGAGGTGTTAAAACTTGTTCCAACGTTGTATCAACGTCGTAGTTTCGGTGTGTCTTTGGCAGGATACTCGTGGTGTCTCATTTTCCCTATAATGTTTGGTATGTGATGTTTTTAATCATCTGATAGTTTTGGCATACAGTACCCTGGTGTTTAATTTTCTCCAGAAAACCATAGTGAGGTGGAGAAACTTGTTGACTTGGCCGGTAGATGCCAGGTGGCTCTAATTCCATTTGGTGGAGGGACGAGCGTTTCCGGAGCTTTGTTATGTCCAGAGGAGGAGAGCAGGATGATTGTGTCCCTCGATACCTCGCAGATGGTGAGTCTGAAAGAGATGTGCAGTATACATAAGATATTTTGTTTGAATCTTGAGGATTTGTATTGATTCATTTATTTAGTTTATTTGCACCTCTGTATAGGAACAATAATACATAAATGAAATGCACACTCTTTTTATCTGGGAATATCTTTCCTTGTTTGACAAATTTTCATTAAAGACAAAATTATATGGCTTGATACTGCTTTATTGTGTTGTTGAGAGTAAATTCAATCAAGTTTTTGTTAGGAAAGTTATTATCCCAATCTGAGTTATATATGGAATTGCAGAGCCTGTAGCAAGATTTTAAAAGCTTTAGGTAAACACTTTGAATGAATAGATTGGCGTGTTCAGTTTTTAATCTTGCTTATGTTATTTCTGGGCTCTTTCCTGCTGCTGCTGGAAGCTAAGCATATATGATAGTGAAGGAGTTTGCTTAGAAGTGGAGTTAAATGTTTTCAAAACAGAATAAGGAGGTTATATATGCCTCATAAGAATAAGGTAGTCTTAAGTACATATATTTTGATATTTCCTTGTCAAACGTCTGGTTGTTGAAGGATATCACTAAGGTATGTTTTTTCAGTGTCGTATATTATGGTTAGATGAGAAGAACCTAACGGCAAGGATAGAAGCAGGGATTATCGGGCAAGATCTTGAGAGACAACTTCAAGCCCGAGGCTACACTACTGGCCATGAACCTGATTCCTATGAATTTTCTAGGTAAGGGAGATCACAGGAGTAAGTTTTCTTATTGTAATTTTTCTGTTGTGTATTGAAGTTAAAATCTGTCTCGTCCTTGTCATTTCTCTAATTTTCAGTGACTATGGGTTCAGGTAATTTCACTGCAAAACTGTGCCCTAGAGTGACTGTTCTATAAGAGGGGTTCCCTTTTATTTTATTTTATTTTATTGTTAAAAACAAAGTATACTATAGAGTAAATGCAGCCATATCCAGCTAGTTTCCTAAAAACCTATAGCACCTGCTTCATTGGATAAAAGAAAACCCAAAAATTGGCAAGCATTGGACTGGGTAATGACTGTGCTTGTCTGGGTAAGGTGGTAGGCAACTCGAGGCATTGGGTTGAAAGCAGCTATATTGTGTCCCGTTTGTAAAGATAATTGTAAAGAATGAAAAGCACACCTGGCTAAATGGGGTTGTTACATGAATTTCATATCTGGAAATATAGACTCCTCTTTCCCTTCGACATGCATTCACTGTCATTTTTCGTGTACTGGTTCCTTGAAATACAGTACTACTAGCAGATGAACGCTAAATCCACATATTACAGATAGATAAAAGTTTAGTCTCTCACACTGCTCTTAACTTGTAATGGAGGAATATGACAATCGGGTAGACAATTAAAAGTTAAGCTGAGTATACAGGTTTTAGGGCATTCTTCACTGAACAACCAGACGGTAGAAAGCTGGCATACCAAGGGGGAAAGTATATAGAGATGAGAGACTTCCTGTTAAGGCGACCTTAGGATATAAAACTTTGGGAAGATAAAAAAAATTGTTCACTTCTACAAAAAGAGGCTGAGAAACAGTCACCAAATTTAACAATGTTCATAGGAAAGATAATGAAAGATAGAATTTACTTTTGGTTTAACCAAAAATGAAAAGCAGCAACATCAGCACTAGGGAAAACTACAATAATAACAGTGGGATTCCAGTGGGCCAGGAATGAGTACTGCTGAGTGAGAAGCTAGCCGAAAGGCAATTGGAAAACAACAATGCAGATAAAGCAAAAACTCAACTCAAGTTGCTTCACAGCCACACCAAGAAGACAACACTTTTAAGGAACAGGTGATGAATCTGAGGATAGTAAATGATTAATTCACTGAGAATGACAGAAGTGTACGAGGAACTTACCGAGACAGAACTTCAAGGAAAGTTCTTGAACTTTGAGAATAGGTGCTAAACCCATCAGGCTTAATAAAACTAGGTAATTAGCAGCACTGTACAATACTAATTAATTGTAGCCCTCCAACTCACTCGTACTCAATCTTGCTCACAGCCACCTGACCACAACTCACACACACCCTACACACACACACCCTCACCCAATTTTTATACATTTGTTATATGTATACAGTACTGTATTTTGTTATTCTTTTTTTTTCTGATATACAATATCATGGATGTACAAAAGCACATGTCCTTTTGATGATAATGGTCTTTATTTTGCTTTTCTACCCAGTCTCGGTGGATGGGTTGCAACAAGAGCATCAGGAATGAAGAAAAATATTTATGGAAATATTGAAGACCTTTTAGTTCAGTTAAAAGTGGTTACACCCAAGGGCACTGTAGAGCGTTACACAGCTGGACCCAGAGTGTCGGCTGGCCCAGATGTCCACCACTTCATTCTTGGATCTGAAGGTAACTTTTTTTCTTTAGCTTCCTGAATTGGCAGATTATATTTTCTTTTCTTTTTTGTGAATGACAAAAATGTATAGGTGATTTTAATGTTTTACATCCTTTTCACTAAACCATTTCCTGTTTTTCTCTGGGAAGTTGGATAATGATGATGTGTGGGTGTAATCTAAAAGCAAAACTTGACCAGTCTAAAATCATGATCTTGGTATACAGTATTATCATTACATGAGACAATTGTATAGTAGCTCATTTGTGGTCTTCTGCCAACCTGTCATCACACTTCATGCATTGCAGTTTTGACGATCACAGCATCAGAATTCCAGTGCTTAAGAAGAAATTAAAGCACTGCTATTGATGATTCTTGGACTAGACATACACACTGTGATGAAGTAAACAATTATTTAGTTAATAAGTGACTGATATTTTCACCTTGAATGAACAAAGAGGGTTTAATAAGTTGTATTTTATTTTTTGTTTCAGGTATACTGGGCGTGGTGACGGAGGTGACCATGAAGGTGCGACCTTTACCTCTTGTCCAGCACTATGGCTCCATTGCGTTTCCAGATTTTACAAGTGGTGTGAGTTGTATGCGTGAAGTTGCTCTACAACGCTGCCAGCCAGCCTCCATACGCTTGATGGATAATGAACAGTTCAAATTTGGTGAGGGATTTGTATTGCGTAATTTTGTTCTTTAATAACACTGATATTTCTCTTAAGGATACAGTATTATCAACATTGATCATCATTTATGTGCATTTGCCACCCTCATGGGGTGGGGGGGGGGGGGGAAGCAGTGGTAAGCACAGTTGGGTCCAAATTGTAAGGTCCTGCGGTAGGACAGAAGCATTTGGATGGCGTTTCCTCTTTCTAGCCAACTGTCGGTAAATAGGTACCCAGGAGGTGTTAGGCAAATGTTGTGGTTTGTATCCTGGGAAGTTTGGAAATTAGCCCAAGGGACTTCAATAAACCTAACAGGCTTCCCATCCCAGGTTCTGGATAAACCATGTGGTGAACCAATATAAGAAAAGATCATTAAAGGCACATACTGTTTTTCGTGCTGCAGCACTGCATGCAGGCAGCACTGCATGCAGGCAGCACTGCATGCAGGCAGCACTGCGTGCAGGCAGCACTGCATGCAGGCAGCACTGCATGCAGGCAGCACTGCATGCAGGCAGCACTGCATGCAGGCAGCACTGCGTGCAGGCAGCACTGCATGCAGGCAGCACTGCATGCAGGCAGCACTGCGTGCAGGCAGCACTGCATGCAGGCAGCACTGTCGCACAACATTTCCTCCATCACCAACCCTTTGCTTGCTCATACAACTGGATGTAAAATTGTTCTTGTAAATTGTTATTTTAACCTTTGTCTAGCTGCAATCATCAAAGGTGCCACTTTACCTGTGTACAAAAATACATGACACTGTTCTTATAAAAATGTGATTCATTTGCAACACCTATAGGTCTCGGACATGCAGTAAATGAATTTGATACTCCCAAGTCTCGCATAAATGGGTCCAAGAGCTGCATATACAGTACTGTACTGCACTTGCCTTAAAGCAACAAGTCTTGGGTGTCATAATGGTGTGTGGGGTTCTAGGAAGTATTCATGCACTTATCACCTTGGAAGAATCTAGAAGTTCTGTGATTTTAATTCTGTTCATTCAACTCTCCGAAAATATTTTGTATTTAATGAAATTATATATAATATATATATATACATATGACGACTGAAAACTCGCACCCCAGAAGTGACTCGAACCAGGAGCAATGCAACTGGTAACTACAGGACGCCTTAATCCGCTTGACCATCACAAGCCATTCAGGCTTGTTCGCATATATACATATATAATTTTTGTTTAAATAACACTGGATCTTTTTTTCCAGGTCATGCTCTAAAGCCTCCAACAGGCTTGATGGGCTTGCTCAGTGATGGCATAAAGAAAATGTATATTACACGTATTCGAGGTTTCAACTTGGACACAATGTGCGTGGCAACTCTTCTCTTTGAAGGTACTGTAATGCCTCTCTTGAGTTGTGTGTACCGTATATACCTAAGGTTTCTTAATTACTAATTTTTATCCCATGTTCTTGCTTCAGTTTGCAGAGTGGATACTCAACGTATCTTTAGGCCATTTTAGAAGAGTGAAAAGTTGAATAATGTTTGGTGATTTAGTCATCGAGCAAACTCTGACTAAATTCTAATCCTTCCAGTCATTGCATTAGTGTATCAGTTTATCATATAAGAAAGAACTGAATTTACATTAATATAATTTCTTTGACGACACTCGGGAATACAGTATTGACCCTATGTTAGTATCCTGGCATGTAAACACCCAAAACAAATCATCCACCGACAAAAGAAAAATGTTCAGTCTTTGTTTTTCACTTTGTTTTTCTCTGTTTCATTTATGCATACAGTACTCCTTATCAATACTGTACCCGCAAATTTGACGATTTATCACAAATTTCCTGGAAGTAAGGCTTATATCGGCATATTTTTGTCATTGTAATTTGTATTTTCACCATGTTTAGCATAAAAACATGGTAGTACAGTAATTATTGCTAGTTTCTCATGTGGTATTCTCAACTGCATCACTCTCGGTGTCTTTATATTGAACCTTTTGTTCATGCCGCACAACACAAGGGAACCCAAGTTCCATCCACTTGTGGTCCTCGGCTGTTTGGAGACTCGATTCGAGCACCTGCATGCAGATATTGACCAAAAGTATTATTTTTCGAGTACGATTTTCAAAGTGGATGCTTCAACCTGCAATAATGGACTGTGAGAATATTATCCTTCTCCAATTTTCTTTTAACATTACTATTTACTTCACCACCAGTCTTAATGTTGCACTGTCTTTCTTATTTCTAGAAGAGCTTCCAGTTTCCCGAATTGTTATTTTTGTGTATACTGTATTTTATCCTTACAAATTTTACATAGCTTTATTCTCGTCATTGTATTGTTGTCTTTTTCCTTTTCTCGTTCAATTTATATCCATCAAACCTATTTCTTTTGTTTTTTAATGTTATGTTGATAGATTGGAAGACTTAAAAATATAACAGTATAGTATTGTAATGAAATGCTAAGCTGTTGTGTGCAGATTTTGTGTAAAAAAATGCTTTTATGAGAGAGTGGAATGATTAATGGTCTGCATGGGTCAAGATGAGGACAATTATTTTATTATAGATGTACTGAGACTACATTACTCCGTTTTAATAGGTTGTGAGCAAGAGGTGGCTACACAGGAGAAGCGGATATATGACATAGCACTGAACAATGGGGGCATCCCTGCAGGGGAAGCAAATGGTGAAAGAGGCTATATGTTGACTTTTGTTATAGCCTACATAAGGGTGAGTTGTTTATAGCTAGAACTGGCCCTTCTCTTCAGTAACGTCTAGATTCAGTCGTAACTGGGATATTATCAGAATGGCACGTCTGAATTGTTCATTTTTAACTTCTGTAGTATAAAATTCATTGGGCTGAAGACCATATTTATACAGTTGGTATGCTGCTTTGTAAATAATGTTAAATGTTGTTTTTCAGGATTTGGGATTTGACTATGGTGTAGTTGCCGAGTCTTTTGAAACGTCTGTACCCTGGGATCGTGTGTATACCCTCTGTCACAATGTGAAGCATCGCATCAAGTCTGAATGTAAAGGTTAGTGAAGTTAAGGGCTCAGTTTGAAATTAAATGTTGCTTTCATTTTATATTGAAGATTTATTTACGTTTGCAAATACTGTATAGTATATTTTAATATGCAGAGAATGTTACAATAATATCATTCAAATAATTTAATCCATGCATATGAAATTAAATGCAAGTGAAAACGTTTTGGCCCATCCTAGCCCCTTATCAAGTCACAGCTAAGAAACATTATGTATATATATGTACCTGTATGTGTGTGTGTGTCTTATAACCTGACATCTTAGATCTTTATGGTAAAAACCAATTTATTGTATGATAGTCAATCCCCAGTGTATGAACCATTTACGATTTGGAATAGTCACTTAGTTGGTGACAAAAAATAGAACTAGAAGCAAGCAGAATTCTAATTATGTAGAGAAAAGGCAGTACAAAAATGTCCACAAAATTGAGGTGCAGAAAACGCTATTTTAAATATAGCTAATAAAACAATCATCAAATAATGATAATGGCAGTGTGATTAAATATTTGCCCTTTTACCTAGGTAATGATATTTTTGGCAGTAGAAGTCAAAACAATTGCATCTTCTTGTGCAATGTATTTCTTATAATGTTTAGGGAACAAAGTATATTTGTTACCTTGCAAACCATAAGATAAGCTTAGCAACTTAATTCCCAAAATGAATGTTTACAGAGAGGGGTATCAAACACACGTTTGTTACGTGCCGAGTAACTCAAACGTATGATGCCGGTGCCTGTGTGTATTTCTACTTTGCCTTCAACTATCGAGGCCTCTCGGATCCTGTTCATGTATATGAAGAGATTGAGGTAAGTATTTAAATTGTCATTTTTAGTATTATAGTTGATGTTAGCGTGTTATTATATATCAGAATATCAGATGCAAATGTGTTGTTATAATCAGAAGGCTTTTGGAAGACTTCCCAGAGCAAGCTTCCTAATTGATGTTCTAGTACTATCTTCCTTTTATAATATAAAACAAGCAATTTTATTACCGTCACATTAAACGGCTTAAATGTCATTCTTTAGGGTAACGCTCGTAACGAGATCCTGGGGTGTGGCGGGAGCATCTCCCACCATCATGGCGTTGGGAAGATAAGACGCGAGTGGATGAGTCGAACCTTCTCGGAGCCGAGCATAGGTGCAGTCAGAGCTATTAAGGAGTATTTTGATCCTGAAAACATTTTTGCTAGTGGCAATTTGTTGTAAAGATCATTTGGTTGTACAGTTTGGCTGGACCTGAATTGTTCATCTTGTTGGTTTGTTACAGATGTTAATGTGCATTCTAGTGGAAGAAAGATGTTGGTGTCATCATAGTTATATAATGTACACCAGTATCAAATTAACTTTACAAAATTATACCAATTTTTATCAGTTTAATATCAGGATTAAATTTTTTATAAATGTGGTATTGAAAATTTTAGAATATTAATCCATATGGTTATAAATAAACATATATATATGAATATAAAATTTCATTGCTTTATTTGAAAGAAAACAAATATGTATGAATCTTTTTAACAAATGGTTCTATTATATACTGAACTAGCAATGTTATGGGTTATGCAGACGACGAGTCACAATAATGTGGCTGAAGATATGATAACTAAAGAACACATCAGAAGACAGAGAAACAACGACATTTCAGTCCTTCCTGGACCATTCATTGTCATGTCTTGTGATCACGACTTGATAATGGGTCCAGGATGGACCGAAACGCTGTCGTTTCTCCATCTTGTGTTGTGTGGTTTGGTACTCTCGTCGTAGGTTATGCTATAGATGTACAGTATGTTATTATATTAATGAAAGCAGGTTTTTTTTTTCAATTCCATTTATTTTCTGTCCCCCTCTTATTTCCTATTAATTAGTTTTTTACAGGAATTAGTTATTGACTTTAGTTGCAAATGAAAATGGTGAATTTACCTGGTGAAGTCGGGTGGTTACCTTGAAGTGCTTCCGGGGCTTATCGTCCCTGTGGCCCGGTAGTCGACCAGGCCTCCTGATTGCTGGACTGATCAACCAGGCTGGTGGACGCGGCTGCTCGCAGCCTGACGTATGAGTCACAGCCCGGTTGATCAGGTATCCTTTGGAGCTGCTTATCCAGTTCTCTCTTGAACTGTAATTATGTACTGGTACTGTACAGAATGTTAAGCCAACCCAACTCAACCCACCCCGCTTCACATCTCATCTATGTGAAGTTTAGCACATGCAAGGAAACTATGGCGTTTCTTAATTAACTTTAAATTGCTACCGATATTGTAGGCATCCATGAATGTCTTGATAATACAACTGCTTAGAAATGTTTTGTCATAAGACATGAAACTTTTTAGTGGTTTCTTAAACCAGATTTGCTGCACTGGAAGTGGCACGAGTGTATGCTGAAGATGACACCCACAGTTAGGTATGATATCATTTTATGCGGTGTACAGTAGCACTAAAGAAGACTTATTTATTACAACAATTTGGAATAAGCAATTGGTTTTTCTTGTAAGAGTTGAAATTTGTATGCGTGAAATTAAATAAAAAATAAATAAATATGTTTATTCAGGTAAGGTACATACATACAAGTGATGTTACATTAATGGATTGATATATAGATAGAGCTAGTACATACAATGCCTAAAGCCACTATTACGCAATGCGTTTCGGGCAAATTCTTGACTAAAATTCCAAAACATACATATTTGTTTTCTTTTATGGTGGATACTAAGGTTTAAGTAAAACAATTGCACTTATGAGTGTGTATGTGTGTATTTTAAAGGATATAGCTATACCAAAACCAAGGAAGGAATATTAAGAAAATTGTCTTATAAATCATTGTTGTTGAGTACTGCTTTGTACTGTAGTAGATCTTGTGTGTGCATGTGTACATGTACATATATGCATGTGTGTGTAGGTGTATGCTTGCATAGCTGTAGCCACATAAAAGTACACGCCTGCACAAAGCAGGTCTAAAAAAATTGCTCGGTACTGCAAGCACATCTCGATGAGCAGAACTTAGCAAGGACAGACAGATGTGCATGTGCATAAAAATACACGCACATGTACGTATAGGTGCATGCATATACACAACATGCACAATTATATGTTTACACAACACACAGGCATGCATATATATATATATATATATATTTTATTAAATATGACCGAAAAAGTAAGATTAATAATTCTAACACGAATTTTCTCAATCTTTCGTACATTATGCTTCACTGTTGGAGGTAAATCAAAAATCACTTCTCCAAAATTCATTTTTATTTCTAGTCTAGTCTGACGCGACACGGGCGCGTTTCGTAAAACTTATTACATTTTCAAAGACTTCACAAATACACAACTGATTAGAACTTGCGTTTCCCTGATTTTATATCTACATTTGAGTGAGGTGGGAAGGGTGATGTGGCATTACATTTGAGTGAGGTGGGAAGGATGATGTGGCATTAGAGGATATTAATAGGGTATTAAAAGTATCAACACAAGACAGAACACGAAACAATGGATATTGAATAGAAGTGTTTGTAGAAAGCCTATTGGTCCATATTTCTTGATGCTTCTATATTGGAGCGGAGTCTTGAGGTGGGTAGAATATAGTTGTGCAATAATTGGCTGTTGATTGCTGGTGTTGACTTCTTGATGTGTAGTGCACTACACATCAAGAAGTCAACACCAGCAATCAACAGCCAATTATTGCACAACTATATTCTACCCACCTCAAGACTCCGCTCCAATATAGAAGCATCAAGAAATATGGACCAATAGGCTTTCTACAAACACTTCTATTCAATATCCATTGTTTCGTGTTCTGTCTTGTGTTGATACTTTTAATACCCTATTAATATCCTCTAATGCCACATCATCCTTCCCACCTCACTCAAATGTAATGCCACATCACCCTTCCCACCTCACTCAAATGTAGATATAAAATCAGGGAAACGCAAGTTCTAATCAGTTGTGTATTTGTGAAGTCTTTGAAAATGTAATAAGTTTTACGAAACGCGCCCGTGTCGCGTCAGACTAGACTAGAAATAAAAATGAATTTTGGAGAAGTGATTTTTTATTTACCTCCAACAGTGAAGCATAATGTACGAAAGATTGAGAAAATTCGTGTTAGAATTATTAATCTTACTTTTTCGGTCATATTTAATAAAATATGTCTACAGGAAAGACTGCTACCAAAAAAAAAATATATATATATATATATATATATATATATATATATATATATATATATATATATATATATATATATATATATATATATATATATATATATATATATATATATAATTACATTATGGATTCCATAATTATTTTGTGCTTTATGCACTGATGATACATCTTCGTATTAGTCGTTATAGATAATTCATACTAACTTTCACACTAGCTGCCTACTATGAGAGTTTGTGCCAAATCGCATGTTGGAATCTTGATTTTTAAAAGTTTTATAATTAAGGACGTAATAAAAAGGACTAAAAGTTGGTACAACTTTACAATGTCTGTTGATAAATGCAGTTCTTGCGTGAAAGTGTTTTGAGGCTTCAAGTGCTGAATGACTATTTGAAGTGTTTCTGCTCCTGTTGTGTATAGGGGTTTTAGCCCAGGTTTGGAGGGTTATGTTTCCAGTTAGCATGTTACAAATTCAGGCAGAGAAAAAGCTAGTTTGTTGCCTTCTGATTCAATCCAGAAATTTGGAAAGTGGTTTATGGAACTTGTGACTGGTATAATAGCAGTTTTCCCCCCAAAAGAAATGCCCTCTCTACTTGAACAACGGCTGTTATGCGCAAGTCATAATTTACATTAATGGTAGGGAACGTTAGTGTTACTATTTACTCGCTGCACGTTAGTAAGTGTTGCACAAGTCTGTTGGCACAAAGCCACGATTTCTGCGGCTTTATACTATTTGTCTTGCGACTGGAATTTATTGATTTGAGGACGTCAATCATGGCATAATGTGGTGTATATTCTGTACTGTAAAGGTTTATTGTGTCTGAATTGAACATTTCTTGATCGTTCCTAGAATTTGCTACTGGTTTTGATCTCGCTAGTATAATTCTCGTATCTTCATTGCCCATTTTGTTAGTTCAGTGCTGTGATTTGATTAGTCAGTCTAGTATAATTTTTTTTTTTTATCTGAATTAAGTGAGCTAAGTGGAGAGGCTTTGTACCTGAATCAGTGTTCTATTGGGAAGTTGTATTTTGGTTATCTTGAGGTTATCTTGAGATGATTTCGGGGCTTTAGTGTCCCCGCGGCCCGGTCTTCGACCAGGCCTCCACCCCCAGGAAGCAGCCCGTGACAGCTGACTAACACCCAGGTACCTATTTACTGCTAGGTAACAGGAGCATAGGGTGAAAGAAACTCTGCCCATTGTTTCTCGCCGGCACCTGGGATCGAACCCAGGACCACAGGATCACAAGTCCAGCGTGCTGTCCGCTCGGCCGACCGGCTCCCCTAGGTGTGTGATGGTTGGGTGATGCAAAATGCTTAATTCTTTCCTCTGGATCAAACATCCCTTTTTGGAGAGAATTCATTTCTAGGTCATGTTTTAGGTGAGAGTTCCTTGATGTACATTTCGAATATTAGTCTAGTAGATTTATTTAGTCATGTTGTAGAAACAGAATAGGTAATTTTAAAGGTACAGTACTGGTCCTGTACTGTTTTTCAGTTAACTCTCGAGAGATGGTTTCATAACCATATGTGTACAGCGAAGTTGGTGTGGGCTTGTAGAAGGATGTTCCTTTAGCTTAGTCAACACAGTTAAAAGAATCTGGAATGCTCTCTTGGTGAGATGTTTTTTTGATTTAGCCAAGTACGGTATATTGAAATGGAGATAAAAGCCTGAATGCAGGTGAAAACCATAACAAAATGTTGACCAAAATTGAGATAAAAGTATATATTTTAAATTTTTACAGTAATTGTGGCATTAAATTGGTTATACTGTATGTTAATTATTCACTTAATAATTTCAGGAGAAGTATTTATAGTACTTTAGGCTTTTAGTTCATGATAAGCTGAAGATTTAAAGATACATTACTTTAGATGAACATCAGCTTTGATTTTTTTTTACAGTTAACAGTCTAACTATTTAATTGGCATTCCTTCAGGGAAACTATAGTGGAATTAAAAAATCAATGTAATATAAGAACAAATTTGTTTAGAAAATATTCCTAGTGATAAATCATTGCAACAGTGCTCGTCAATATTTGTGTACAGTAGGACACTACAGTAGTATGTGTACACGTACAGTACTGTACACGTACAGTACTGTACACGTACAGTACTGTACACGTACTCACGTACAGTACCGTGCGCGAGGACGTACAGTAAAAATAAATTTTATGTTTCATATTTCCCGTTAATGAGGCAACTTGCATTGAATGCTTTGTGTGATGCTCTTTAATTTGAGGTCTAATGGAAAATATGTACATAATTATACATCCGTTTATCCGTGTTTAAGCCGCACATCATAAGAGGCTTGCATGCTGTACTTGACCAAGGTCCTCTACATATACTCTTGTTATGTTACATGTTGGCATGAGAAGTTGCCTTTTATGTTTATTCTTGAGCTTTTGGTTTCCTCATATTTCTAATACATATGAAACATATAATAACTATCTTTACGGTCCAGCTCCCAAAGGTTTCATATTGGGGGTCAAGTCACTTGTGTAGTATTCCTCGGCAAGTAGTTAGATGATTGCGGTCACCACCGACACGTTAATATAGAAGTGTGACTAAAGTTTTTGAAAAAGATTTTACAAATGTTGCCTAATCTTTTTTCTGTAAATATGACACATTATTACGAATGGAGAACGTGAATTTTGTTACACTGCACTGAAGGCAGTAGGTAATATTTTTTTTTGGTATTATGGTGACCGATGTTTATGATGTGGTTTCATGTATAATGTCACACTTGAGTGTAATAAGTTAAAGTGAATGTTTTGTAGCTTAAGCTTTTTATGGCTACTAGTCAATGTATTACCATGCCTACCTGAAATGTTTTTTGTTTATGGCTTGCATTCTTTGTACATGGCCTGCATTCTTCGTACATGGCCTGCATTCTTCGTACATGGCCTGCATTCTTTGTACATGGCCTGCATTCTATGTACATAGCCTGCATTCTATGTACATGGCCTGCATTCTTTGTACATGGCCAGCATTCTCTGTTCATGCCCACTGCATTCTTTAATAGCAACACATTTGCTCCAGATCCATAATTCATCTTTTACCTATAACTTTGATTAGCTTTTTGTATCTGTATTAGTGCATCAGTTGTGTGTGATTGTATTTTCTATGTACTGTATTTGCCGATACATTTTCCCAAGGATGCCAGTATGGTATAGCTTCATTTTTGTTTTTGTTTTAATTGATGAGGTGAGCATCTGCTGGAAAACTGATTGATGGAAAAAGGCAGAGGTTTTTGGATGATATTTCTTAACTTATGTTTCAACTTCGTGTTGCTGATAAGGGTGATGTTTGATAATTTGATTTTTATCCAGTTTTGTAATAAATTTGCAGTGTGGA